TATTTGAGTTTCATATGTTATTTATCTTCCACTAAACTAGATCTTTTGGAAAGGATTTGCATCCTATAGGTCACTGTGATATATATATATTAAAAAAAAATAAGAATTATATATATATATATATATATATAATACAGCAAACCAAGACAGACTTGAGATAAAATCACTTGCCCATCCTGGTTACACAGGGACAGTACAGGACTGCTTTGTACCAGGGCACTTATCCCCTGCTTCCCTACAATAATCTCTACTTTTGTCAGAAATAGAAACTTGGGAGTGTAACTCTCTGGGGAGACAAGGGCGCCAGAGAGGCTGGCTTTTTGTTGCCTCTGCTAAGCAAGGCTTATGGGTCTGGATTCTCCATCCACTCTCAGACTCTCTTCACGGTCCACCCTATTCCTACATTTAATCACACACGGGCCATAGCTCTTGGGTTTATTTTATTTATTTATTAAACAGGATCTCCCTAATGTAGTTCGAACTGGTCTTGAACTCACTCAATAGTGCAGGTTGGCCTTGAATTCACAGCGATCCTTTTGCCTCAGCCTCCCAAGTACTAGGATGACAGATGTGCTGGCTCTTAGGCTTTATTACAAATGTAGCTGAGTGCTCCAGAGGTCTCTCTGCAGTCTTGCTTTTGTGCCCTTTTCCAATACACCCCCCCTCCAAGTGAGGTCTGACAGCCATTACAGAGAATCTGGGGAGAATGAAGGAGGGAATGCTCTCTCCAAAGTCCTCTGAGACAATCACCAAAACTTCCAACGGCAGGTGAAAATGTTCTGGTGGAAGAAGTAAAAATTAGCTCTCATCTTCCAAGTCCTCCATGTCAACATCCCGGTAAACTTTCATCTTCTTCTGTCGCTTGGGCTGTGGCTCACTAGTCCTGGCTGGCTTTGAGGATGTTTCCACTGAGCAGAGGAAAGAGGAGGCATTGGAAGAACCCAACACCCCTCCCACCCCCGGCTCCTTGTCCCTGTGTCTTGCTGGCCCTCACCTTCCATGGCTGCCTTCTCTTTCTGGGCCAGCCGGATCTGCTGCAGGAGCTTCCTGCGCTTCTTCCCGGACAAGGTGATGTTGGCCCGGGAGCTGGACCTGAAGGGCAGGAGAAGCAACTCGAAACCACCCGGGTCACCAAGTAGTCCTGGCTACTCCCGGGGTCTGTGGTTCAAATCACTGCAGCTGAAACAATGTGGGCTCTCAGAATATAAGGTGACTCAATACAGTCAGCATGTACCTCGGTAACAGGAATGTTTAGTTCAAGGATCAGGCGTTAAAAGTACCTAACCTTAAACGTTAGGAGTTTAACATGCAATAAAACCTCAAATGTTTAGAAGAAGGCAATGAAACAATGTAAAAGTAATTAATGAGAGAGCACAAAGTGCCCTTAAAACTTGAATGCAAAATCCTATTCAAACCTTTGGGAAAATTCACCGAGGTCTACACACTTATGCGTGCGCTTTTCCGAACGTAAAAATAAGTTTACTTATAAAACTACAAATGAGGGCCGGGGATGTAGCTTAGTGGTTCCGCCCCCTGCCTCGAAAGCGCAAGGTCCCGAATTCAATCCCCATACCGAAAAAACCCACAATCTCCCCCCCAAAAAACCACAAAAAACCAAAAACTACAAATAAAACTAGATGTGGTGGCGCACCCTTGTAAATTACAGCACTGTAGGAGGCTGAAACAGGACGATCACAAATTTGACCTCGGCCTTGGCACCTTGGGGAGACCCCGTCTCACAAATAAAGATAAATAAGAACTAGGGATGCAGCTCCGTGCGAAGGTTCAACCTCAGCACGGGGGGGGGAAACCCCAAGCGCATGTGCTGACCTGGCGCTTGGGACGGGCGGCCCCGGGTTCGACCCGCGGAGACGCCGACGACACCGCCCCGCGCCCGGCCTCGACTCACGCGCGCTTCCGCAGGTGGTGCCGTGTGGTCAACCCTGCGTCCACCACGGCGCCGACCACCCTGCGCCGCCGCGACCGGCCCAGCACCCGCCGGCGCTTGAACAGCTTCCTCTTCAGCTCCTGCGGGGAGGGAGAGAGAGCGAGTGAGCGCGCAGCCCGCCGGCCCGGGAGCCGGTCCCCCATGGTTCCCACGTCACCGTGCGCGGCCGGTTGATCTTTCCTCCTGCACCCGCCATGTCGCTCCCCAGCGCCGCACTTCCTCTCCACGTGGGTCTGCACTTCCGTTCAGGTCTTCCGCAGGCCCCGCCCTCAACCACTGCGGACCAATCCCAGTCGGGGGCGGGGACGAGGCTATATAAAGCATCCGTGCACCGTCCGCACCGACCTTTCCGAACGCACCATTCAAGCCGGTAAATGTGGAGTTGCGCAGCTTCCGGGAGGCCGGACGGGACTTGGGGCCGCAACCCTCCCTTTCTTGGCGGAGAGTGGGCGCGTGGTCCCGCTCCCCGTTATGTACGGAGGCAAAAGAAGGGGCTCCGGCCCCCCCGGCGTCATGTCTTCGGTGCCGGCAGTGTCCCGTCTGCCGGTTCTATCCTCTAGCGCCGGGACAGGCTCCAAAGCGAGGCCCAGGGCCGGTCGCTCACGCATTCCTTTCTTTCAGGTCCGTGGACGCCAGCCTCGGAGCCGCATCTGTTGAATGTCCTTCAGTTGTCCAGTAAACACCGCTCGTCCCAGAGCGTGGGTCTGCGTTTGGATTCAGGCGACCACGTGCTTCACAGCTTCTCTGCGGAATTTGCAGAGCGTCCCTGGACATGAGGCACTGTGGGTGCAGCAACTTCGGGCCCTTCGATGGCTGCGCTGCGTCGGACGTTGCGGGTTCCGCCCCTGCTGGCCAGGTCGCGCGCCTCGGCGGGTCGGCAGGGCGGGCCCCTAACAACCTCTGGACTTTACGCCCCAGAAGCCTGGCTCTTAAAGCCTAGGGTGCGTGTGCCACGTGTTTGCAACTTTGACCTAAAACCTTCACTGGGTGACTCGTGTTCTCCGCCCGTGTCCTCAGCTTCTCTGGCCACTAGCTGCCTGGCAGATCGCCACCTTTGGGACCAGCTGCATGCTCAGCCCCGTCCGGGGAGTGTCCCCACCTTCGACTGGTTCTTTGGCTACGAGGAAGTACAGGGACTCCTCCTCCCGCTCCTGCAGGAAGGCCGGGCTGCCTGTCCACTCAGAGTGCTGGACGTGGGATGTGGGACCTCAGGCCTGTGTACGGGTCTCTACACCCAGTCGCCACATCCGGTGGACGTGCTAGGCGTGGACTTCTCTCCTGTGGCGGTGGCTCACATGAACAGTCTCCTGGAAGGTGGCCAAGGCCAGATCTCCCTGTCCCCAGGACACCCTGCCTCCCGCCTCCACTTCAGGAAAGCCAATGCCCAGAACCTGGGACCCATAGCTCCTTCAGGCTCCTTCCAGCTCCTGCTGGACAAGGGCACCTGGGATGCCGTGGCCCGGGTTGGGCTTCCTGGGGCTCACCAGATGGTGTTGGAGTGCCTTAGGGTCCTGAGCCCACAGGGGACCCTCATCCAGTTCTCTGATGAGGACCCAGATGTGAGATTACCCTGTCTAGAACAAACATGCCATGGCTGCACTGTGACCATTCAGGAGTTAGGGCCTTTTGGGGGCATCACCTACTTCGCTTATTTTGTTAAAAGTGGTCATTAAAACACTAGTCCTGACTAGGGTTTCCGTTGGGAAAGAAGAGGATTGGAAAAAGCTTTGCTTTGGAGTGTGGACGACTGGAAGGAGAATTCGGGTCCTGGCATCCACATCCTGCACTCCAGTTAACTCGCCTGCAGAGTGGGAATGATACCTGGGCTGCATATAGTCACCTGAGACAGCCAGTGGCACAAGGTGAGTGTGGAGGAGAGATACAAGGTAGTGGTCTCCATTTGTGACCCACTGGAACTTACAAGAGCAGCAGGTGGGCTGAGTTCTACATGGACTTGGGGCTCATGGCCTGTAAGCCTCATGTCAGTCTGTATGGGGCGACTGAGGGTGGGTAGAAGGGTGTCAGAAACCACTATGTGAAATGTCGGAGGCAAAGAACAGTACTTACCCCCAAAGGTACTGGGAGTCAAGAGATGGGAATACTCCACAAAGCGGCTTCTACAGACACAAGAGCCTGGTGCTGGGTCCCAAAAAGAACGGGTTGGGGGCTTCCTGACCTGTATGTGTCCTCAGGAATCCAGGAGATGTTTTGCTCTTCCTGCTCCTGTCCCCAACTGAGTCCAGGGTTAAATGTTCTCCAGGGAGATTTGGGGTTCCGTGGGCTCCAAGCCTAGCCTGGGGGAAAAAGCCCATTAAAATTAAAGAACACGGGCCAGGGATTTAGCTCAGTGGTTTTACTGCCTGCTGCGCAAGCACAAGGACCCAAATTTGATCCCTGGTACCAAAAAAAAATTTTAAAAACACCTCTCATACACGAGTTTTTAAAACAATATTTGTTAGAGCAGGCGTGGTGCACACCGTTAATCCCAGCTGTCTGGGAGGCTGAGGCAGGAGGCTGGGAAATTAGAGCCCAGCCTAGATAAATTTTTTTACTTTTTTTTTGGACAATTTAACTTAGCCACTGTGTCAAAAAATAAAAAGGGCCAGGAATCAATAACCCAGTACTGCAAAAAATAATAAGTTGGGTAATATTTTTGCACGTAAAAAAGCAATAAGAAGAATAGTAGGCTGGGAGCCAGGTGTGGTGGAGTGCACCTCTAATCCCAGGGTTCCAGGACATTCACTATGATTCAAGGCTACATAGTTCAAGGCCAGCCTGAACTATATAGCAAGACCTTGTTTGAAAGGAGGGTGGGGAGCTGTAGTCTAGAGGTAAAGTGTGTATTAGCAAGCCCTAGGCACTGGGCTTGATATCCCCAGCTTCAAAAAAAACATGTAAGGGCTGGGGATTTAGCTCAGGTGTTCTGCCGCCTGCCTCAAAAGCGCAAGGTCCCGAGTTTGATCCTTTGTACCAAAAAACAAAAACATGTAAGCAGCAGTTTCTAAGACCCTAGATTCATAGGCTAATTTTTCTTAGAAAAAGTTCTCTTCCTAGGTTCTGCAGATCATGAGATAGTGTTTAGTACAGTGCCTGGCACATAGTAAATGTTCAAAAACAAAGTATCATTTGTAACAAGTCAGGCACACTGGTGCATACCTGTAATTCCAGTTACTACTGTAGAGGCTGAGGTAGGATGATTGCAGGTTTGGCCCTGCCTGGGCAGTTTAGCAAAACCTGGTCTCAAAAAATGTTGGGATCTGGCGTGGTGGTGCACATCTGTGATCAACTAGGTAGTTGGCTGTGGCTGTCAGCTGTTTTCCCAAGCAGTGTGCGTATTAATACTGATCTTTAAAAGATATTAATACTTACTAAAGGTATCACCCATTCTGGCTAGAACTGCCTTTTCTCTTCTGAGTCTACATGTACCAGCTCCGTGTGCATGAGCACCACCTCACCTGGCTCTCCACTCCCGTCCTGGACGAAGGCCGTGGCTTCTGCTTCCTCACCATCTGTAAGCAGCAGCAGCTCTTCCTGTGGCCACTGGAGATTCCCCACCACCTTCAGTCTCCAAGACCTCCATCATGATGGAGGGTAGACAGGGCTTTTGAGAGACTCCTTGGGCAAGGACAGTGGGGAGTTGACCCAACTGGAAGATGAGCCAGCCAGGATCCAGATTGGGGAGGTACATTACCAACCTGCACATCCTGATGACTTTCAAGCCTGTCTCCCTCTTCGGCTTTCCAGAGACGACTGGTCAACTTGGGACTTTCTGGTTGCCAGGAGCCCAGGCCAAGGCCTGTTCTGGCTTCCCGGCATGAGGGCCATGGTTGTGGCTCACAGTTTTGAGCACCGTTTTCCACTCCAACTGCCTTTTAATTTTTGCCCCTTAATCACTGTGAGGAGAGGGGGTGACATGCTAGGAGATCATGGGCCTTAGGGGGCTGAGAGAAGCCCAAGAGGTGGAAGAGGAGCTTTGTTTTTGTTTACTCCCTAAAAGTAGACAGCAAGGGCGTTGGGATTAGCGCCCTGAGTGAAGAGCAGTGACAGTGGACTTGAGATTCTGACCCTTTGCTTACTGGTTTTCTCAAGCTGACTTGCCTATTTGTGCCTTTAATAAATTTGTATGTGGTGTTCACTATCTGCCAGAAACTCTTTGTAAAGTGTTTACATATAAACTCAAACACAATTACTCTTAGGGCATATTTTCCAATTCAGAAACGGCAGAAACAACTAAAATGATTTTCCTAGTCACAACTAGGCAATATTTGCATCTCCAAAATAAAATTGGACGTTACACAAAATCCGGAATTTTCCTGGTTAGGTTAAGCCAAACAAAGGCAGGGTGGGTGGTGCAAGCCTGTAACCCCACCTACTCAGGAGGTTGAGCCAGGAAACTTGCAAGTTCAAGGCCAGACTGGGCACTTTGTTTTAGGTTTTTTTGAGACAGGGTCTCCATGTGTAGTCCGGGTTGGCCTTGAACTCCGCAATCCTACCTCAACCTCCCGACTGCTGGAGTTGCAGACGTGCACCATTAGGCCCCTCTCAGTCTGGGAAACTTAGACCTGTCTAAAAAAAATGGGCTGGGGTGTACCTCGGTGGTGGAGCCCACCCTCCAATACCAACAGGGTGGGTTTCCCAAAGGCAAGGATATGCCGGGAGCAAAGTGATAGGCCTGTTAAAAAACAAAGAGATACTGGTAACTGCCCCAGTACTTCGGCTTTTGTTCCGGAGTGGGAGGAGTCGATAGACGTACGCGGAATGCTGTGTTGAGCGCGCGTTAATTTACTGGGGAAGCCAGAGCCGCGCCCAGTCGCTAGGGGTTAAGATGGGCAGCTGTTCAGTACGTAGCAGCAAAGAGGACGTGCTCCCAGCTCGCAATTCAACCGTAGGTGAGGGGGCCGGGCCTGCGGAAGCTCCACCCGGTGCCCGGGCTTCCGGACGCCCTCCAGCAGCTGAACCATCGAGACGCAGGCGCGCTGGAGCTCGCGATTCCGGGACGAGGCCGGCTGTAGCCTGGAGCGTCTCGATGGCTCGCATGCTGTCTCTCTAGCCGGCGAAGGGGCGGCGAGACGTCTCGGCGGATGCGCTAGGCAGCGGGAGGTCGAGCTCGCCGGCGGGGACGCAGCCTCCATGGGGGCCCTAAGGAAGGTGCTGGTCACCGTCGCAGCGATGGGCGCGGGGGCGGTCGTAGGGTCCGCGCTGTTTGCCCTGGTGACCCCAGGGGAGCTCCAGAAGCAGGCGTTGCTGAAGGTAGGCTGCTGGGCGTGGCGGGCAGGGCGGCAGGCAGGGCGGAAGCGAGACCCAGCTGTCCTTGTAGGAGATCCCCGAGCAGCATCGGCAGCACAGGGACGAGAAAGCACACACCCAGAGGCTCGTGATGAGCACGCTGCAGGAGGCCACGGCCACGCAGGAGAACGTGGCGTGGAGGAAGAACTGGATGGGCGGCGGAGGCCGAGGCGCCGTATGAGCGCACCCACGCCTAGCGGGGTATGCGGGACCCTGCCCAGGCCGCAGGGCGAGCCGCACTCAGAAACCCCGTCCGTCCGACTGGAGCCCCACGTCGTGCCACCTGCTTACTCCCACGCAACCCCAAATCTCTGTAAGCCCATCAACCACATTCTCAAAACATTTTCAAACTAGGTGTCTGTTTTCTTCAGGGGAACCAAGCGACGCTGTTTTTTTTTTCAGGATTGGATTGAACCCAGGGCCCTCGCCCTTAACTACATCCCCAGAAGCCCCCCCCCCCCGTTTTTTGTTTAAATTTTGAGACAAGATCAGGCCAAGTCGGCTACTGTGAGCTTGGTTTTGATCCTCCTGCTTCAGCCTCCCAGAACGTTCGGATTTTAGGCATGCACCAGCAAACTCTTCAGTCTCTAGGACATTCTTGAAATCCAGACTCCCTTGGGAACTTATCAATGTACACCTGTAGAGAACTCCTCTCTAAGGTTAAGGGCCATCCAGCACCTAAGAAGCAATAATCCCTTCTGTGGCCACTAGTGTGACCATGGTGAAAAGAAATGTCTGTAAAGATATGGTTTAAGGGCCGGGGATTTAACTCAGTGATTTCGCCGCCTGCTTCGCAAGCTTCAGGACCCGAGTTCGATCCCTGGTACCAAAAAAAGATATGGTTCAACTCCTTCCTGCAGGTTACAAAACCCAAGTCTCTGGCTGAAGTGGTACACACTTGTGATTCCAGGACTCAGCAGGCTGAGGTAGGAGGATCGCTGTGAGTTTGAGGCCGGCCTGGGCTACATAGCAAGTTCAAGGCCAGCCTAAACTACATAGTGAGACCCTGTCCAAAAAAACAAAAAGGGCAGTGCCTGAGCTCAGTAAACGTAGATTGTTATCCCTGTCCCCCCAAGGTTTTTATTTTTTGGTACCGGCAGTTGAACCCAGGACCTTGCACTTACAAGGTGGGTGGCCGTGGAACCACTGAGCTAATAAATCCCTGGCCCTCCCAAGTTTTTTACTATTAGTTTCCAGTCCGCCACTCCACCCTCACTGGGGATGGCACCCAAGCACTCTCTACCAATGAGCTACATCCCCAACCTTTTTTCTTTTTTGGTACCGGAGATTGAACTCGGGACCTTGCACTTGTGAGGCAGATGGCGGAACCACTGAGCTAAAAATCCCCAGCCCTGCCAACCCTTTTTATTTTGAGATTGGGTCTCACTAAGTTGCTCAGGCTGGACACAAGCTTTGTTCAGACTGAACCTAGGCACAGCCTCTGGCATGCTAAACACACAGGTTCTCACTGAGCAGTACCCTCAGCCCCTGTATTTCATCCCCTGTGGTTCCCAAGCACGACTGTATCTGCAGAAAGGTTGTACTGATTAAAGCCAGAACAGTACTGTGTTAGAAATTAAAGCTGGGCCAAGAGTGTATAAAGCCAACACCTTCCCGTCTTATTAAGTGATGCCCCTGCTCAGTTTTGTCCTGCCTAGGTATTCAGGAAGCCAGGCATGTACAGAACACAGAGGGTCCATTTATTAAGAGGAAGATGTCGGTCCCTTAATAAAGATGAAGGTCCAGGAAGGTGGGATGAGGCTCTTCAGCTGGGACATTTCTTCGCCACAATGAGTACAGCAGAAGGCACAAGTCCTGAGGATCAATTGAAAGAGACAACCTTGAAACACAAGGACACTTGCTTTCTGCTCTCCAAATACTGGCCTCACAGCAGCTCCACCAGCCCCCATCAGCATCGTCTTCCCCAGGCAGGCAGGCACCCATTCCCATGCCATACCCAGCTCCTGCAGGGGCCGCTCCATGTCGGCCTCAGAAAAGGCCCGTCTGGGGAAGCCGCTGAGCAGCTGCACAGGGTCCTGGGCCCCTCCAGCCTCTCCCCCACGGTTCAGCTCCACGTAGAGCCTCACAGCCGCCAGTTGTTCCCGGGCTTGGAATGTCTGGGTCAGTGATGTCCCATCTGGCAGCCTGACCTGGAGGGCAAGGGAAACGGATGCTCAGAACTATGATTGAAAGCTCATAATGAATCTGATGAGTAAAGAGTTATGAACAATCACTCATGCTCTGCTTTCCTAAGTGTGAAAGGTCTCTGCTCTCTCATCATTTAACAGAATAATAAATGACACAAGGTGGTGTTACATAGAAACATCAAAATTAGCTAGGCATGGTGGTGTGCACCTATAATCCCAGTACTCAAGAGGCCGAGGCAGGAGGATCACCACGAGTTGGAGGCCAGCCAGGGCTACATAGTGAGCTTTAGGCCAGCCTGAATCACACAGAGATACTGTCTCAAAAAACTAAAAACATTAACATCACAAAATTAGTTGTGTAGTGAACCAAATGTAACAGGGAAGTATGGATTTATTTATTTAGGTGCTGGGCACTGAACTAGGGGCCTTGCGCTTGTGAGGCAGGCAGTGGCCCCACTGAGCTAAATCCCTGGCCCAGAAGTATGGATTTAAATACATCTGTGGCAAGGGAAATTTGATCTCTTCCCCAAGTGGGAGATAAGGTTTCAAGTCATTTACAAAGAAGCAAGGAGAGATTTGGCAACCAGAACATGACTACAGAATTGTCTGAGTTGGATACCTTATAGGCCACAAAGGAGTTTCAGGAGCAAGACAGGAATTGGTGTCAGTACCTGGATGCGACACTGGTCATACTCCCGCTTGGTGGGAGGCTCCTGGCTGGGAGAAGAGGGAACAGGACCTGGCTCTGTCGCTGGCAGAGATGGCTGAGAACTCATACTACCACCATACTGGAGGACAAAGTATAAAACAGTAACCCTTAGGAGAAACTGACATGTAAGCCCATGCTTTCCCTGAGGCCGGGAGAGGTGATTCACTCAGCCATTCTTCTATAGTCTTCCCAGTCACCCACCTTCTTAGCTCTCTCTGCTTTGTCCCTTTCAATCTTTTCTCGAACCCTCTGTCTGGAATGCAGACAGGGAGAAAATAAGTCTCATGTGGACAAAGCAAATCTTGATTGGTTTCTCAGCTACTGACCCACACGCCCAGCTTGCAGACCTGGCTGCTAGCTCTTCAGCCTTTTCCCTCCTGCGTTCCTCAGCGGCCCTTCGCATCTCATCTTCCTGCAGTCTCTGTCGAGCAGCTGTCAGTTCTTGCCCTTGTTTTCGGCGCTGCCTTTCTCGTTCCAAGGCTTCCCGCTCCTCCCTTTCTTCCCGTTCCCGCTGCTTCTGGGCCACCAGCTCCATCATTCTGTTTTGCAGAGAGGAAAGAGTTCAAGGAAAGTGGAGATGGAGTGGGAAGGGAAATTTACAATGGAAACATGTTTGAGGATGAAAGAAACGAGGAGGGCAGGGATTTAGCTCAGTGGCACCGTGCCTGCTTTGCAAGCCAAAGGTCCTGAGTTTGATCCCTGGTACCAGGGGAAAAAAAAAAGCCAAGAAAAAACAAGGTGCTAGGTGTGTACCGCACTACTAAAGCACATGCTTAGCATGCCTGAGATCCTGGGTTTAAAAAAAAAAAAAAAAAACAGGCATAGTGGTGTACGCCCCTAATCTCAGCACTCCAGAAGCTGAGGGAGGACTGCTGAGAAATCAAGGCCAGACTGAGCTGCACAGTGCGATGCTACCTCAAAAATCAAAATACACGAAGAACATAAAGAGGCCAAGGTTTTCTTGAGACTCCGCAGGTGAGGGAGAAGCCTGATCTTCACTTCACCTCTTGGTCTGTTCCTGTCGCTCCTCGTCGGTCAGGCCGGGTCTCCTCTCTCCAGCAGCTGCCTCGGGTCCTGGAACGAGCGCTGGTGTCACGGTTCCCTCCGTCACCCTTGCCGCCCCCCCCCCACCGCCGCCTCCCGCCTCGCCGTCCCGCTGACCTTCGGGTCCTGGCTCCCGGCCCAGGGTGCTCCCGCACAGGGCCGGCGTCGGCAGCGGCTCGTCTGCCTCGGGGTCGTCCTCGTGCTCCATAAGCCTGCAGGGTGGGGAGTTAGCGCGTGGCCGCGCCCGACCGCCCTCCCCCTGCCCGGCGCTCACCAGTCCATCGCGGCCTCGATGCCCTGGTTCCCTGTGAGGGCCAGAGCCTTCTCCCTGGGGGCAGAAACACCGTGAGCGGCGCCCGAGCCATGGCGGTGGCGGGCGGGGTGTGCGGCCGGGTTTCCTTACGCGCGTCCCCGGGCGAAGCCCATCTCGATGAGACTCTCCAGCGCCGTCAGCTCCGCCATGGCGCCGCCGCGCGGACCTGGGGGCGAGAAGACCGCGCGAGGGTCAGCTAGGGTCACCGCCCGGCCCCGGCCCCGCGCGCTCGCTCACCGGCTCGAGCCACGGAACGGCGCCTTGGTGGAAGCAGACCGGAAGCGGAAGCACCCGGTCTGTTTGGATCACGTGGGGAAGGTGCAGACGGTTGTCGCGGACGGACAAAAAGCGCTTGTCGGCCGACGGCGCAGAGTAGCGCCCAAAACACCCGAGGTGGGAGCTAGGGCGTTTGAAACAGGGTAGGTGGGATCCGCTCCAGAGCCTCACGTCGCCACGCCCTCCTCAGATTATTGAACGGGAGAAGGGGTCAGATACTATAGGGCCACTTCCCCGGGACGAACACATTCCTCAGGTAGCACAGACACTGCTGATTAAGTAAATAAATTTGTAAAGGAAAGGGCGGGGCGGGGGCGTGAAAAGAATTAAAGGGTGTGATGTCGGGCACCAGCTCCCCACTACGAAGTAATTGTTACGTATCCAGACCTGTGCCCATGAAAGTAAGTCGAAAACGAAAAGTAAATAGGCTAACTTGCAAAAATAACGGGAGATGAGAAGGAGCAAGGCCCGTGACGCAGCCCGTGGGCCCAGCGCCGGGAGCCCAGACGGGCGCTGGCCCTTTGACCCGCACCCCTTGGGGGCGTGGCCTCCCCCACTGCAGCAGTACCCTGTAGTCGCGCCTGATGGAAGCTCTGCCCGGAGACTCCATGAATGCTAGATGTTAGCTTCCTCCTGGGCCTGTTTTTGGTTTTTTGTTTTGTTTTGTTTTTCTTGGGAGTGGGTTGTTTTGAGACAAGGCCTTGCAGTGTAGCCCAGGCTGGCCTGGATCCTCCAGTCTTCCTGTTTCGGCCTCCCTAGTAGCTCGGATTGTAAAGCGCTGTCTATAGCGTTGAAATAACCAGTAGTTCTATTTAGGCAGAATGGTAAATGCTAGTATTTATTTATTTTTATTGTACAGTTTCATCTCCTACCAACCGAAGACAACCTGTGCATATTTCAGGGCAGGAGTTAGAGTGGGCTTTTTCAAGACTCCTGGGTTTGCTTTTTTTTTTTTTCTTTCAGTATTAGAGATGGAATCCAGAGGCTTTTCACTGAGCTCCATCCCCAGCCCTTTATATTTTTAAATTTTCAGACAGGGTCTCCCTAAATCACTAAATTGCCCAGGCTGGATTGAAACTTGGAATCCTCCTGTTTCAGCCTACCAGAGTGCTGGGATTTTTTTTTTTTTCTTGGTACCAGGGGTTGAACTCAGGACCTTGCACTTGTGAGGCAGATGCAGCACCACTGAGCCAAATTCCTGGCCCCCAGAATGCTAGGATTACAGCCCCATGTGTCACCACACCCAATTAAATGTTTATTAGGAGGTAGAGCTAGCAATGGTGGCACACGCCTGTAATCCTAGCAGCTGAGGAGTCTGGAGGAAAGAGAATGGAGAGTTAGAGGCCAATCTGGGCAATTTACCAAGACTGTCTCAAAATAAAAAGGGCCCATGAATTCTAGATGACGAAAGTACTCCAGATGTATTCCAAGGGTACCATAATGAGTGACTGAATTCCACAGTTTTACCTCTTTCCCCTTTACGACTAGAAAAGATTCGAACCAGGGCCGGAGATTTAGCTCAGTGGTTTCACCCCCTGCTGTGCAAGCGCAAGGACTGGAGTTCGATCCCCATACCAAAAAAAAAAAAATCTTTGGGCCAGGGATGTAGCTCAGTGGTTCCACCACCTGCCTTGCAAGCACAGGGTCCCGAGTTCCATCCCCGGTACCAAAAAACCCCAAAGATTTGAACCAGATGTCCCAGCAAGAAGCAAAGGTTAAAGCCCTTCACAGACAGCATCCTCTGTAGACAGCTACACAGTCTTGAGCATGAGTGAGGAGGCTAGGACTTACCACTATGAATTGTGGCCTGTGGAGAACAATGAGTGCAAAAAAAAAATTTGCATTTCTGGAACATCTGCCCTGGTGTGGGGTGCAGTGACTGCCCTTGTAACCTCAGCACTCGAGAGGCTGGGGAGGAGGATTACCAGTGAGCCCTCAGCCTGGGCTACATAGTGAGACAGTCTCAAAAAAACAAAATCAGGCCCAGTGGTGGCACCTGTAATCAGCATTTTGGAGGCTGAGGCAGTAGGATTTCTGAGAATTCAAGGCCAGCCGGAGCTATATAGCAAGCCCCATGAACCCCATCTCAAAAAAACAAAATAGAACAAAACAACTGGCTAAGAGCAATTACCTCAATTTGCTGGGGATCAACCCAGGGCCAAGCACTCCACCACTAAGGTACACCCCCACTCAGGAGGCTGAGCCAGGAGGAGCATGAGCTACATAGTGAGTCCCAGGCCAGCCTGGAATCCAGAGCACATCTCAACCATTAAAGAGCCAAAAGAAGGGCCGGGGATGTAGCCTGTAGCTCATGCTCCACCTGCCTGGCAAGTGCAAGGCCCTGAGTTTGATCCCTGGTACCGGGAGGAAGAAAAGCCAAGAAAGAACTTAGCTCATGAAGAAAAACCATTATAGGGCCGGGGATTTAGCTCAGTGGTTCTGGCCCCTGCTTCCCAAGCACAAGGACCCAAGTTCGATCCCCGGTACAAAAAAAAAAGCATTATTAGGTAAATGATGAAACTACAAAGCTAATGTGCTGAAATCTTTTCATTTAGTACTGTAAGACCAATGCTTAATTATGCATTCTGTTCTCTTGTGCCCAGGTTGGTAACCCCAGTTTGCTTTTCTGTGTAGTCTCCTGGTCACAGCTGTTGAGTAATTTTAGTTGGAGGTTGGAGAAGAAAATGCTCTTCAGTGTTGTTTTTTTTCCGGTACCAGGTATCAAACTCAGGACCTTGGGCCGGGGATTTAGCTCAGTGGTTCCACTATCTGCCTCGCAAATGCAGCGTCGAGTTTGATCCCCGGTACCAAAAAAAAAAAAAGTTTCAGAAAGGGGCAGGGGATTTAGCTCAGCACTGCGTCTGCCTCAAAAGTGTCGAGGTCCTGAGTTAGATCCCCAGTGCCCCTCCCCCTCAAAAAAGTTTCACAAACTAAAAAAAAGAGCCAAGAGCAGTGGTGCATGCCTGTAACCCCAGTACTCTGGGAGGCTGAGGCAGAAGGAGTGCAGGTTCTAGCTCAGCCTGGAAACTTGATGACTTAGTGAAGCTGTCTCAAAATAAAAAATGAAAAAGGGCTTTGGAGGTAGGTCACTGCAAAGGCCCTAGGTTTAATCCCCCCAGTACTGGGAAAAAAAGTCATATCCCAAAACCATTAAAAAACAAAATTGCCAGGCATGGTGGTCCATGCCTATAATCCTAGCACTCCAGAGGCTGAGGCAGGAGGATTGCCTCGAGTTTGAGGCCAGCCTGGACTACATAGCAAGACTTTGTTTAAAAAAAAAGCTATACATTCCCAGTCCAAAGACAGCTTGTTTGTTCTTTCTTTCTGTCTTTCTTTTTCCTGGCAGGGGTGCTAGGGATCCAGCCTCTCCAGCACTGCAGGCTAATGCTCTGTCCCTAAACTATTGTCTACCCCACCCTGGGAGATTATCTCTTAAAGAGAAAGAGGACTTTCACTTGGTACTCTTTAGTGCCATTTGAAACTTTTAGTGTGTGTTACTTTTATAATTAAAGATAAATTAAGGCCCAGACATATTTCAGAGGTAGGTAGAACACTTGCTAGTATGCACAAGGCTCTGGGTTCCATCTCTAGCTACATAGAAACAAATCACAACATTATAAGATGAAGTGAGGCTTCTGATATATACCAATACCAAACGGACTTTTCTACAGCCAGTTCATTTAAATGTACTTTAAAAGTATGTCTACGGGGCTGGGGATTTAGTTCAGCGGTTCCGGTGCCCGTACCAAAAAAAATAAAGTACGTCTACTGGCGAAGCCCAACCGACCTCCAAGGCTGCTTGACAAAGTTCCAGCTGGGGAAAGAAAGGGTGGAACACATCGTACCCTCATGTTTTATTTTTTCTTGCCATAATGTTTATAATTGTTCCTCTGGCCACAGGAGTCATTGTGTTTGTGACTAACAACGAACTCTCCATGAGGCAAATTGGCAATGATATATTGAAATCTGATCTGGCTCAAAAGTCCCAAATTCCAGTTTCTCTTAGTTCTATTGCCACATCCACTCCTTAAGAAACCCCTCCTAAAACCCCCTCTGTTTCCCCACTACTATAACTCCCCCTCTTATTGCTGACCTTCTTATTACTAAAGGGGTCTTACGAAGAGATTGGAAGGACAGACTTTAGATGTAAGAAATAGTAGAAAATGGGGAAAAAAAAGAAAGTTAAGACAGGTAAATACATTAAGGAGACAAGTTACTCAATATTTCTCAAAATGCTGTAAATATCTCCTGCTCATAGACTATGAACCCAAATGGCATTTAGTTAAGATGAATAGAGGTATAGAAAAATAGAGAGCTAATAGCAAACTATATTAACCATTGTGCAGTTTCTCAAGGGCCAGCTGGTGACCACAAGTTTGACACTTAGTTGATTAAATCTTGCTTGTACCCCTGCTGATGTAAAGATTTTGATTAAGTTACCTTCTGTTCTGCTTAGGTGTGGGTAAATAAGGGGACAATTGTAATTTTTAAATATGTATACATGACGTTCAATAAAATGAAACAGCTTAGAAAAATTGTACTTTGTTTAAAAAAAAATAACCTTTACTTCAATAGAAATTGCTAAGGCAATTTAAAATGTAAACATGTTCTGCCCAATGCCTCCCAGCTATTGCTTAAAGGTATAAAAATAAATCGGACCCTGAGACTTCTCAGAGGGAGCCTGAACACTGCTTGCGAAGGTTCTTTCTCATCGCCGGCCCAGGACCTCTCCCCTTCCTACCCTGCATCGACTGCAGCTGGTCTGCGGCAGTCTACGTCTTGGTCTCTGAAGAACAGCTGTCTCCAGACTAATGGAAAGGGATCGTGAAAGCTGAAAGTGTCCTCCTTTGAAATTTCCTTTAATGTAATTGGAGTGGATATGCAAGAAGCACAGCCTCACATGGTGATGCAGGCCTGTAATCCCAGCCCTCAGGAGGCTGAGGCAGGAAGATCTATGTGAATTCAAGGCCAGCCTGAGTTACATAGTGAGTTCAAGGCCAGCCTGAATTACAAAGTGAGACCGTGTCTCAAGGAGAAAAACAAACAAACAAACAAACAAACGAAACCCACAACGGAGGGTGATGGTTTAACTGTTGTTTTTATTCTTGTCAGTCCATGTTTGTAGTAATGACTGCATTCATCATGGGGAGTTGGTCCAGTACATCGCTCACCTTAATTGTGTTCACATACCCCACCACCATCAGGGATAACTATGGTTTCCTTTGTTTTAAATAGTAAGGTGACAGACTTGTGCCAGACTGCGGCTCTGGCCTCTGGCCCTCTTTAGGGCAGGCCGCTGCACATCCGCTCAGCCTGGTAACTGCAGAAGTAGGGAACCCAGCCCCATGCTTCCCGCTGAAGCCTTCCTCAAAGTCCCCTGGGAGGCTGCGGTGGCAGAGGCTAATGGGGGCGACAGTTTGGCCAGCGCAGCCCAGGGGGTGGAGGGGTTGTTGGCGGCTGCGGTTTCCGGGGGTTGGATTCTCAGCTTCACCCCCTCCAACACACGGGGCCTCAGGGTCCACCGGAAGTGCCCTGCCTCTCTGCTTCCCAGCTGCCCCGAGATCCCTCAGCCCCGTGGGGAGGGAGCCCAGGGCTCAGGCCGTGGTTTGGTGGCCTTTCGGGCAGCCCCAGCGCTGGCGCAGGTGGAAGTGCCAGAACAGGGCGGCGCAGCTCAGCAGGGCCAGGGCGGTGCCCACCCCGATGGCTGTGTGCACCAGGGAGCTGGGCCTGGGGGGCACGGAGAACCGGCCACAGGGCCCGAAGGTGGGGAAGGCTGCTGGGGCAGGGTCCTCGCGCCCCACCCGGGGAGTCCAGCTCTCCCCAGCCTGGTTGGCGGCCACCACGCAGAGTACATAGGCGGCCCCGGGCCGCAGCCCCCCGAGCTCAGCTCTGCGGACGGTGGCGTTGAGGGCGGGCCCCTGGTGCGGCAGCCCAGGGCCCGCCCAGAGCAGCAGGTGGTAGCGGTGCACGGGCGAGGCCGGGGAGCACCAGTGCACCTCCGCGCGGCTGTCCTCTGCCTCCACGCGCACCTCACCCAGGCGCGGCGGGGCGGGCGGCCGGGCCGGGCTGGATAGCCCGGGGCACAGACAGGCTACGGGCGCAGCGCGCTGCAGCTCCTCACACGGCACCTGCAGGTGGCGGCACCGGTCGTAGTCACAGAGCGCAGGCCTCAGAGGTGCGGCCACGGCGTCCTCCTCTCCAGGGTCCTGGGGGGCCCCGGCAGCCAGGGAGAAGGTCCCGGCCAGGAGCCACAAGAGGCAGGGGAAACCCAGCATGGAGGCTGCAAAGCGAGCGAGCGGGGAGGCCGTCAGCCCTGGCTCTCAGCGCCTGGACCAACTCGGGGACAGGGCGGGCGGGCAGAGGCGGGAACCGATGTGTCTGTTGGTCCATCAGCCGAGTGTGAGTTACACGCCTGGCTTCACCCAAGGCGTGCGAAGGCTCCCACATGTGTGCGGCAGATGTGTGGCAGCCTCACAGTGGGGCTGCGGCCCATTAAGGCAGAAACAGTGCTGGGAGGGGAAGGGTTTTCGCAGCCCAGGAGGAACCAGGGAGTGACCCCAGCTGCCCCCAGAAGGCGAGAGTGGCCGCACACACCCAGGGAGAGGCCAATGGCAGCGAGGGCGAAGGGGGAAGCGGGACCCACGTTCCTCACAGACTCCTGGCTTTTCTGGAGGACGCAGGACAGGACCCCAGGCCTTCGAATTGAGCTATAGCTGACGACCTTTTCAATTTTTTTTTTTTTGGTACCGGGGATCGAACTCGGGTCCTTGAGCTTGCGCAGCAGGCGGCAAAACCACGGAGCTGAACCCCCGGCCCCTTAGTTTTTTTTTTCAGTACTGGGGACCCAACTCAGGTCTGTGTGCTTGCCAGGCAGGCGTGGTGCCACTGAGCCACCTCCCCGGCCCGACCTTTTCAAGTTTTAGATGGGCCTCCCTGTCCCTGGTGGCCCAGGCTGGACTGCCTCAGCCTACCAGCCTGCTGGGGCAACAGCCCTCGTGCCCCCGCCCGGCCCACAGTGGCCTCTCACCAGTGGCTGCCTTGGTGCAGGGGATTCCGTGGGTTATAGCTTGAGTGGCCGCTGAGAGCACGCAGTCAGGTTGCCTTCCCGCTTAGCTGTTATGCTGCAGCTTTTGTACCCCAGTCTGATGTCACCACCTGGCCCCTCCTGCTCCCCGCCCCTGAGTGCCAGGAGGGCCTGAGGCCTGAGTCACGGAGGGGAGGGCAGGGCAGCCTCTGCTCCCCGGTGGGCTGGGGCTGGAGCTGGGATGGCTGGGTCCTGGCACAGGGGTGGGATGTGGCCTGCGGCCAGGAGTGGAGCCAGGCTGACGCCACGGAGGACAAGAAGGCCTGGAAGGCACCTGCCTGCATGCCAGAGGGCAGAGGACAGCGTGGGCTGGCCAGGGTGACGACTCCGTTTTGGCAAAAACCAACGCATCCCGCAGGCAGCCACTTCCTGGCTTCTGCCTCCCAGCGGACAGGAGGGAGGGGTGCAAGGCTGAGTGATGCATCCTGCTCTCCGACCCCTCCTGTGTCCCCTCCCAGGCGGAAGAGTCATGCGGCTGCCTCCCCAAGGACTGAACCGGAGCGGCAGGGCTGGGGCTCTGAGCAGGGGGGCCCACCTCTGCAGCCCGAATGCAGCCCCGCCCTCCTCCTGGGGACAGGGACATCACACAGAGCAGGGAACAGCTGGCACAAAATAGTTTATTGGGGCGAAGCAGGAGAGGGAGAGGAGGAGGGGCTGGCGTGCGAGGACAGGGTCCTTCAGGAGCTGGAGCAGGTGAGGCGCTGGCGTAGGGGCCCCTCGGAGGGCTCAGGGCGGCCCAGAGTCTCAGGGGCCGAGGTGGAGGTGGAAGCTGGGGCAGGCAGGTTGGCCTCAGCAAGCAGGGCCGCATCTTCCCAGGAGCCTGAGCCTGGGCAGGCAGAGCGGGCCCAGTGAGGCTTCAGGGTCCCGGGTCCCAGATCCCTGCCCACCGGGTCGCTGCCTGCTGGGCCTGCTCACCATCACTGGCCTCGGGCTCCAGCTCCTCACCCCTGCCCTCGGGCTGCAGATCTGGCTTCTCCGGCTTCTCCTCTTCTGACAGCTGCACCTCTGCAGGGTGCAGGCACCGGGTGAGATGGGTGAGATCTGCGTGAGGACTGCAGAGGACCCTGGGCGCCAGCCAGCCCAGCCACTCTACCTGTCCCTGTGGGCTCCTCCGGGGTCCCACCATCTTCTGGCCTCCTCCTGGCCCTGGCGCCCTGTGCCTCCAAAGCGGGTGGAGTGGGGGACAGGGTCCCTCGGCCTCCCGCCCCCTCCCCCAGAGCCCCCGGCTCCCCACCTGGCTGCTGCACGTTCCCTTGCGGCTCCGGCCGGGCACTGTCTCTCCTCCGCTTGTTAACCTATGGGCACAGGGCTGAGTGGCAGGGACTAGGACAGCACCGGCCGGCCACCTCCACACCCAGGGCAAAGGGCCGAGCCTCGCACCTGCACAGAGGAGCGGGTCCGGGGCCAGATGCCTCCCCACGCCCACTGCATGTAGCTGAAGACCAGGACCACGCTCAGGAAGGTGAAGTTGCTGGCAACACCCACGAAGGCGCAGGTCATAGGGAAGTTGTACATCAGGTACCTAAGGTGGGCGGCGGCAGTAACCACACAGCTCCTGGCGAGTGGCACACAGCATGCACCACCAACCTTTGGGTCTGTTTTTCCAGTACTGGGAACTGAACCCAGGGGCTTCATACTGAGTTCCATCCCCAGCCCTTTTCAGTGTTTTTGTTTTTTGGCACAGGGGATCGAACTCGGGTCCTTGCACTTGTGCAGCAGGCGGCGAAACCACTGAGCTACATCCCCGGCCCCCTTCACTTCTATTTTGACAGAGGGTCTCACTAAGTCCCTAAATTACCCAGGCTGGACTGGAACTTGTGATCCTCCTGCCTCAGCCTCCCAGAGTGCTGGGGTGACAGGCATAGGCCACCATACTTAGCTAGCACCAGAGTCCTAACTTTTCAGGAAAAACGTGAGTCATGTCCAGGGCACCTCAGTAGAGTGGGCCACAGCTGCTCCCTCAGCCCCCACGTGCCCTCTCACAGTTCCCAGACCTGAGGCGCTGGCTTCTGACAAAAGCCCAGGGTTTCAGAATGGCCCGGCATGGCGGCAGGGTCACGGGCAACCACCCCGTCATGCAGCCTCACGTCAGGTCGCACTGGCTGAGCCAGTGGACAGAGACAGCAGCTTGTCTTAAAGAAGAGCCCTGCTGTTGCCATGAGTTGTTTTTTTTTTTTTTAAAGACAGGTCTCCCTATGCAGTTCAGGCCGGCCTTGAACTCACTTCGTAGCCCAGGCTGGCCTCCAACTTGCAGGGATCCCCCTGCCTCAGCCTCCTGAGTGCTAGGGTTATGGGTGTGTGCAAGTACACCCAGCTCCACAAGGGTATTTTAAAAACTTAAGGCTGGGCGTGGTGGTATACACCTATAGTCCTAGGTACACAGGAGGCTGAAGCAGGAGGTTGACTTGAGCCCATGAGTTTGTGTCCCGTGCGGGACACAGCAAAACTCCATCTCTTAAAAAGTTAAGAAAGTTTCCTGGGGCCAGGTTTGAGACCCTCTGGGCCCCACAAAACCAGCACCTGGGTGGAAAGTCCAGTCACCCCTCACCTGAGCCCTGAGAAGTGGGCGTGGATGCGCAGGTAGGCCCCATACAGCTGGATGCGCCTGCTGTGGATCTCGATGATGGCGCCAGTCGTGGGCACGTACTGTGGGCAGGGGTGAGGGGTGAGGGGTGGCAGGCCTGGGTGGGGACCACTGCTACCTCTACCACCGCCCGATCCCCGAGTCCTGGGCTCGCTGCCCTCACCGAGTTCTCCCTGTAGTCTGCATACAGCTCCACCTCCAGTAGCTGCTTCTGCTCTGCAAAGCCGAACAGCAGGAGGCTGGAAAAGACGATCGTGTCCAGCGTCTGCAGCAGGTAAGAGCGGTAGTGCAGCATCACCTGTGTGAAGGCAGAGGCTAGGAAGGGCACTGTGCTCTCCACCCTGGCTGGCATGCACAGGGCTGTTCCTCCCTCCGCCCTGCTCTCTGCCCAGCCACATCTCTCCACTGTTCTAGCTATTAGTGATTGTTGGAGCACTGGGGACTGAACCATGGCCTTTGCATTGAGTCCCAGCCCCAGTCCTTATTTTTTACTTTGAGACAGCATCTGGCTAAGTACCCCAGGCTGGACAGGAACTTGCAGTGCTGCCTCAGTGTCCCAGAGTGATGGGATGACATTCGTGGGCCACCACGCAGGGCTGCGTTTCGCCATTCTCATAGAGCAAGGCACCCCTTGCCGCAGCACCCCTTCCTGGTTCAGCACAGCAGTGCCTCTGATCTGCCGTCCCCGAGCAGACCCCCATGTCGCTGTGACAGCCTGGCACTGGGCAGACACCCTGTGCCAATGCATCCCCATCCTCATGTGTTAGAGGCAGACTGTCCACTCACGGTCTGCCTTCCATAGCAGGGACACTTCTTGGGGACCCAGGAGCCAAGGTCCACCTGACCTCTCTGTCTCTTTCTGCAGCATGGGACTGAACCTTAGGGCTCGTGCATGCTTGGCCAGTGCTGCCCCACTGAACTGTACCCCCAGCCCTTTTTACTTCAGGGCGTCTGGCAGACATGAAGCGCTTGGTGAATGGACTCCCGTTCCCCTTCCTGATGCGAGGCCCAGAGCCCAGGAGAGGAGATTCCTTCTGTGGCTGCTCCCAGACACCCTGGCTCCCCTCACTGTCCACCAACACTCACGGAGCGGGAGGAGGTGGAGATGATGCGGCCACCTCTGGTATAGCAGGAAACCGTGACCAAGAACATGCCCAGGTCCTGGTTCACAGGGGACTCAGGTAGCTCGAGCTCCAGGGTGATGCGGTAGGGCTGTCCATACATCAGCACCTGCCCCAGAGCCAGTTCGGAATTAGGCCACCCATTCCCAAGTCTTTGCTGCCCCCTTTTGGTGGCCAGGACTGCCTGAGGTCCTCTGCCTCCAGTAAACTCCTCCAAATCCTAACCCATTGCATTCCCTCCCAGGACTGTGGGTTGCCAACTGAGCCATCCATGACTCGGGCCTAGGTGACGGTCAGCGTGTCTCTTGGGCCCGGCCGCTCTCCCTGTACTGTTAATTAACCAAGTACCCGCAGCACTCCCAGGCATGCTCATGTCATTCAACACCCCCACACCCAGCTCATCTAATCCTCCTGCCTCAGCCTCTCCAGCAGCTGAGACTACAGGCCCACACCACCACTCCAAGCTTGGTTCTGTTGGTGGAACCCTGAGATTCATACTCGGAAGACTTCTTCACTAGGACAGCCTCAAAAGGTTAGGGTTTCACCTAGCACCCCTAGTACCCTAGGCCATTCTTACACCCTTCTGACCAGCCTCTCCATCTGTCTACCAGTCTGTCTTTCAGTACTGACGAGGACACTCAGGGCCCAGTATGCGCTAGGCACATGCTCCACCACCAAGTTCCACCCCTCCCTCCCCTTCACTGAATGGTTCCTACCTGGCCTCGGCCCCTCAGCGAGGTGTCCCGAAGCCACAGCAATGATACAAGCCTGCTTGCCTGACTTTTGCAGGGTATTTTTGTGCCAAGCATGTGCTCCACCACTAACTAACCCTAAGTCTCCAGCCTCAGCCCTCCAAGCTTCTGTTTCTAAGCAAAGAGGGAATGAATAGCTTCCCAGGTCCAAAGTCGTGCCTCCCTGGACCAGTCCCCTCTGTGGTTCCTTTTCTCCAGAGCCCTCCTCCTCTCTGCTTCTCAAGCCCTGCCCTCCACGTCTCCCTCTAGCCTCTTCATCACCAGTCCTGGAAGCACAGATGAAATCTCTGTCCAGCCCTGGTACTCACCCGATCACGGCCACTCTTAGTCAGCGAGACATTGGCGACAGGGAAGGAGCACAGGGAGGTGATGGAGGGGTCACAGTCAGTCCTACCAGGAGAAGGGGATGGCACTGCTGTAGCAGTTGATCTCACCTGTGTGTCCACGCGCCTCCTGGTCCTATACCCCAGCCCATTTATGCACATTATATTTTGCTATTGGAGATTAAACCCAGGGCCTTACCACTGAGCTGCATCCCCAGGCCTTTTTTTTTTTGTCCTTTGCATAAGGGTCTTGCTAAATCACTAACTTGCTCAGGTTGAGCTCCAATTTTCAGTCCTCTTGCTTCAGTCTCCCAGAGTGCTGGGATTACAGGTGTGAGCTACCACACCTGCTTAAGACTCTCTCCCTCTTTTTCTGTACTGGGTTTGAACCATGGAGTGCTGAGGTATATCTCTGCCCTTTTTTAGTTTGAGACAGCGTCATACTAAGTTGTCCAGGCTGGACTCCAACTTGAAATGCTCCTGCCTCAGCTTTCTGAACAGCTGGGATTAAGACAGGCACCACCACATTCGGCTCTATCTACTCTCTTGAGGAATTTTATAAGCACTGAGTACTCTGGGAGCTTGAGATAGGATCACAATTTCCGGCTCATTTTGGGAAGCTTAGTAAGACCCTATCTCAAAAACAAAAAGATTAACAACAAGCTGGGCCGGGGATTTAGCTCAGTGGTTCCACTGCCTGCCCTGCAAGTGCAAGGTCCCGAGTTCGAGCCCTGGTACCAAAAAAACAAAAAAACAGTTTGTGGTTGTGACTCAGGGCAAAGGCCCTGAGTTCAATTCTCAGTATGGCAAGAAATAAACACAGATTCCATCCAGGTGTGGTGGCATGTGGCTGTCAGCCTACCATTTGGAAGGCTGAGGCAGGTTGATTGGGATTCAGGGCTAGCCTGGACTAAGAGTGAGCGCCTGTCTCAAAGAAAAATTTTTTTTAAAAAATTTAAATTGAATAATAAAATTCTAAAATGTAGATTCTGAGATCCTACCCCCAGATTCTGATTCAGTAGTTCTAGTCTGGGGCTTTTTTGAGAAAATTCCAAAAAGAGCTACAGCTAAGCTCTAAGAGGCTCAGGAAAGCTCCAATTGTAGGCAAGACTGCATGTGGTGTGTGGGTATGCATATGCATTTTTATTGGAAGATCATAGTTTTCATTAAATTCATGTGCCCTGATAGTTTAAGTTTTACCTTGCAAATTACAGCATGATTAGGGTTGGGGGAGGGGATTTTGGACCTAATAATGCCCTCATCAACATGTGCTGAATGGTCTGTAGCTGAGAGAATCTGGCTGAGTGTGGGAAATGGGGAGAAACCAGGCGGCCAGGCCAGCAGCAGAAGTCGGGAAGGCCAAGTCAGTTCTGTACGATCACCCTGTTTCCCTAATCTCGGCAGAGTACTGGGGCAGGAGGCAGTCAGGGAAAAGGTGAAGGCGGTTGTTCCACCACGTCCCAGCCAAAAGCCAAGTGAATTTTGCACCGCCTGAGGGCCCGGGCTGGCTCAACCTTCCACACTGACCCTGAGAGAGCTCCATCCAACCCAGAGTGGAGCTGCAAATATGTTTTCCTTATTTTATAACCCGAATCCAGCAATCAGAGAAGCACTGGGCCCTGAGAGCCCTCCGCCCTCGGGCCAGGCTCTCCTTCATGGGCCAGCAGGGACCGATCAGAGAAGCTCTCCTCACCTGTAATAGAAGTGCACGGGGCTGAGGTGACTGACGGTTGGCATGTAGGAGAAGTAGAAGGAGCCGTAGAGGAACACGGACACCCAGAGCAGCAGCAGCACGCTGCAGAAGAGCATTCCGAACTGCAACAGCAGCCTGCGCGCGCGGCCCGCCAGCGAATGGCCCATGTCCTGTGCCCGCTGCCCGGGGGGCGCCGGCGGCTCGGGGGCCATGGCGGGCACGGGGGCGCGGGGCACGGGCTCTGGCCGCAGGCTCCTCGCTGCGTTGTCGTCCGGGCCCAAGCCCTGGCCATGAGGCAGCGCGGCCGGCGGTTCCTGCAAGGACAAGAGGAGAGAGCGGTTCGCCCCCAGGTGGCATGATGCGGCCTTCTTCCACGCGGCCCTGCTCCAGGCCAGCCCGCCGGCCAGCTCTCCGCCCTCCGCACCGCCGCCCCGGCTCAGTCATGGCGACAAGAGCAGAGAAAACCAGCACCTTCCGGAGCCCTAGCACGCGCAGCGACCACCGCCTTCAGACGCGACCCCCCACTTCTCGGGCTCCTAGGCGGCCCGGCGCCGTCACCACGGAAACAGCCGCCGACACTACGCAGACTCAGCTGTTTCGCCCGCAACCGGACATCAACGAGGAGGGACTTCCGGCTGCCCTTGTGCGGGGGCGAGGCCCTGGCCAGTCGCAGGGGCGGGGCCTCGTGCGGGGCGGGGCGTGCTCGCCGAGCTGCCCGCCTCCGCTCCTCGCGCTTCCCCCGCTTCTTTTCCGCGGGTGACAGACGGATGGGGCCCCGGCTGTGTCCCCGCCACGCTCGGCCTCACCACAGCCCTCGGCCCGTGTTACCCTCGGAGCGGGGGCGCTGACGTCTGTGGCCCGAGCCTCCGGGGCTGCCGTCCGTTCTGCGCACTGCGCAGGTGGGCTGCGGGGCGCCGGTCAGGTGCGTTGCTGACGCTCACCCCGGGTTTGGTCATCAGGTGTTACCGTGTGCGGTCGACCCCCCCCCTTTCCTCGTGCCCCCCCTCCCCCAGATCCCCGCACCGGGTACGGGGCAGGGTTCTCTGCTCGTGCGTGCCCCCGCCCCCGCAGAGTCGGGGCCTCGCACTCACCGGTGCGGGATACTGCAGGTGGGGCGCGGTCCACTCGAGGCCTGGGGATTCCCCGCTCCCCTGTCCGTGACCCCAACCCGCTGAGCCCCTCACCTCCTCTGCAGAATCCGGCCCTTTGGCCTGTTCCCTGGAGTCCGCCTTCGGGTCAGCCGCGTCTCTGGACATCTTCCCGACGACACTGCCCGTCTGGCCGAGGCCACGCGCTGTGGTCTAGACGCCGGGGCCCTGTTGCGCGTCACATTCTCCTGGACAGAGGATGGGGACCCTGGGGCAGAAACCGAGGTTTGGTGCGGAGTGCGGCGTCAAGGCGGAGCCAAGGAGTGGAAGGGGCGGCTGATGTCAGAGCCTGAGCAGGGTCTGCGCCGCAGCAGAGCGTCAGGCAGGGGCGCTGGGCCGGACCACCGCGTCGGGGGCGCTGCGGGCGGGGTGCGGGCTCCCCCTGGGCAGGTGGTATGCTCCGACCCGGCTCCCAGCCTCCTCCCGCATCTTTAGCATCCTGCGTTAGCGGGCATCGGCCACCGGCGTAGGCCCCGTGCTGCGGGAACCGGGCAGCCCTAGCGACCTCAGTCCGAGCCCGAGGCCTCTCTGAGCGGCGGCTGACCCTTTCTGAAGCGACTCCCTGCAGGGTAGCACCACTGAGGCAGGGATAGGGCCCAGGGACCCAGCACCAGGTGCGGCTGCCACCGCGCTTGCCGCCTGTCGCTTCAGGTGAGCGTGGCAGCTTCTGCCGCTCTGCGGGCTCGGGGCAGGGAGGCGCTCCCGGGCACACGGAGCTCCGGTACTGAGCCCCCAATCACCTGGATGCTGCCTGTGCCAGGCCACGGGGACCCCGGGGCGCGTCCCACGCCGCCGTCCCCGGCTCCTCCGAGGCGGGCGGGCGGGGTGGGGGATACAAGGAGGTGGGAGGTCAGGGGACAACACCCGGGCGCGGCCCTCTCTCCAGGATGAAGGGGGAGACACCCGTGAACAGCACTATGAGCATCGGGCAGGCGCGCAAGATGGTGGAGCAGCTGAAGATCGAGGCCAGCCTGTGCCGGATAAAGGTGGGTGCGGCCGCGCGGGGGCATCAGGCCTGGGGTGGGGTCCCCGGCCCCAGACGTCCGAGAGCGCGAGACAGGAGGCGAGACTCGCGACGGGGCTGTCCCCAGGGCGGGCAGGGGTGCCCCTTGCAGAGGGAGCGGCTGCCCTGCCCGGTCCCGCCGACCCCTCCCGGGCGCCCAGGTGTCCAAGGCTGCAGCGGACTTGATGACGTACTGTGACGCCCACGCCTGCGAGGACCCGCTCATCACGCCGGTGCCCACCTCGGAGAACCCCTTCCGCGAGAAGAAGTTTTTCTGTGCGCTGCTGTGACCACGCCCCTCCCCGCCCCCTAGCCAGATGGCCCCGCCCCCTCGCCTCGCCGGCCCGGGAGACCTCCTGGGTCTAGAAACATGCCCCTCCCGTCCCCAAGGGCCCCGCCTCTCCCCTCCCCTCGGAGGCCGTCCGGGGCTTGGAGCCCGCCCCTCACCCGCTGTCGCCCCGCCCACTAGCCCTCTCCCCCTCGGGGCTCCTCCTCTCCCCTAGGGCCCCGCCCACAGCGGGCGCGCGAGGAGCTGCCCTTCCTCCACCTGCAGCCGCTAGGTGGGCAATAAAAGTCATCTGTAGGCCGCGTGCGCATCCTTGGGGCGGGGCCGTGGCTGCACAGCTGCCGAGACCGCAGGGGGCTGTCACCGCAGGTTCGGCTGGGGGGTTCGAAGCCGGGGGATTAAGTTACGCGGGCGAAACGTTACGCTGGCGAAAAGTTACGCTGGCGAAAAGTGCGCACAAGCACGCGCGCGCGCGCGGTCGACGACAGGCGGGAAGCCGCGGGCGGAACTCTTGGCAGATTGGCGCCTCGGCCCAAGATGGCGGCGTCCAGCGGAGGGCTGTACATCGCCGCTCTCAAGATGGCGGTGCCGGCGTGCGGCACCCCAGTAGGGCCTTCTGCGCTCGTCCGAACCCAAAATGGCCGCCTCATTGCGCCGGAACGTGAGGGCGGTGTCGCGGAGACTGGGGGTCTGCGCGCACAGCGTGGCCGCGGGAACCTAGGTTTTCAAGTCTCTCCGAGAGACATTCTCTGGGCAGTGACACAGAGGAACGGCCTCCTGCACTGAGCGTCCTAGGACCCGCTCCCCGTGGCTCCGCTTGGGTTTCGGGGTGGACCTGGGGCCCAGTCTACCTTGACGCCCCCTCCGCCCGCGCAGGGCCCAAGCGGCGCCGCCTGGCCGAGACCCCAGGGTGCAGGAGTCCCGGGTGCCTGCCAAAGGCGGGGCTGGCCTTCGGGGTGGAGCTGCTTCCCAGCAAACGTAGGCCGGGGGCGGTGTCCGGATAAGGAAGGGGTGACCCGAGTCACCCCTGCGCCTGGCCGCCTGGGGACCCGGGAGAGCTTGGGAAGCCTGTCTTCAGGAACATCGATGGTCCCAGAAGGTACCTGATGAACCCCCGCTCCGCCTCCCCGAGAGGAACAGAAAAAGCAACCCGGTGGCTCACCTGGGGCAGGGACCAGCCTCCCTCCGTTCAGTCTCTAGTGCCTTGGGAGGCCCAGGTCAGTCCTCGTCCCTGCGCCGCTGCACCGCACACAGAGCTCGAGACCAAGAACTTTCCTTTCCTACCGCATCAGTGCTGGGCAAATTTAGGGTCGAAGTGAAGATACTCGCATCAGCTCATACTTGGTAAAAAGCCACAGCGCTCGGTAAATGTAACCTTGATTCTGGGCTTTTAAAAAAATTGCCTGGGGTGATAGTACACGCCTGTAATCCTAGCACTCTGGATACTGAGGCAGGATGCACTGCCAGACCCTGTCTCCAAAAGCTCAACTTAAAAAAAAAACACAACAAAACTTTTCTGCACAACTTTCATGCTGATCAGGTTCCAGGTGGATGCCTGCAACTCTGCGTGGCGGGTGAGGGGAAACAGTTTTGGGAGTTCTGAGACACAAGGCATGAGCTATGCATGAATGATGAGTTAGGCTGTGATACAGCCTCATGGCAGAACGCTGGACTAGTGTTTGGCTTTGTAAAGCTCTGTGTTCAGGGAGGGTAGAGTTAATTAGCTCCAGCACGGACTTTGAATGTCCTAGTGAATAGGCAGCCGACAAAATCCAGGGTGCTATTTAGGTGGCAAGTTGTGAAATCCTCCAATCTGGGTCGAGTGCCCAGGGGAGGAGCTGGAGCTCTGCCTACATCGGTACCACTCTCCAACCTGTGCACTGGAGCCCCTGGCTGCCAGCCTTCATGGCTGGGGTTGATGGGCCCTGCTACTCAGGTTAAGGCAGGAAGATTAAGTTTGGGTCTACCTGGGACACCTAGGTTGTGGCTATAATCCCAGCGCCCTGGGAGACTGGCAGGAAGACTGAGATTGAGCCCAGGTGGGGCAATTTAGCAAGATCTTGTCTGTAAATTTAAAAAAAAAGCAAAAAAGCTGGGGATGTGAAGACCCCAGTACCAGGAAAAAAGAGAGGACTGGGAAACCTAGCTCAGTGGCAGACTGCCTCTGGGTTCAACCCCCAGTAGAGAGGGAAAAGGGAAATGGGTGAATTATGAAATGGAGCACTTAGGATAAGTTTAGAAATATGCAGTACTTGGGGGGGAGGGGTTCCTGGGGATTGAGCCCAGGGCCACACCAAGCTATCCCTAGTTCCTTATCTTTTAAGACAGGGCCTTACTAAGTTGCCCAGGCTGGGCTCAAACTTCCAGCCCTCCTGCCTTGGTGTCCCAGAGTGCTGGCATTATGGGTGTGCAGCACCACACCCAGCTATTGCTGCTTTTGTTACCTAAAAGTTAACTTCACTTTTTTTTTTTTGGTACTGGGGACCCAACTCAGGACCTTGTGTTTGCAAGGCAGGTGCAGTGCCACTGAGCCAAATCCCCAGCCCTACCTTCTAATTCTTCAAATTCACTAGAAAGCAACTCCCATCAAATCTCCGTTGAATGAACAGGGCTTTCCCCCTGGGTTGTAATTACTCTCAGATAAACTTATTCACCTTGAAAAGTGGACCGCCGCAGGTGAAGCCAGTGTCCACCTGGTTCCAGCCTGGCCCACGTACACAGAGCCCCTTGCTGCACAGATGCACAGCTGCTGCACAGCTGCTACCCAGCCAAGGCCTGGTGGAAGAGGAAGGGGACAGCCTCCAGCGAGAGGAGCATGCTTGGGTGAGGCCGGTACAAGTGGAGAAGTACACAGGGAAATGAGAACGTCAAATAACCACCTGATGACACCACTCAGTGCAGCCACGGGACAGGAGACAGATTCAGTCGAAAACTCAATAATGCTACTGTGCCTACATTTTTGCCAGAACGTTGTGATGGGAACAGGGAAGGAAAAGTACAGATGTAAACGACACAGTTACATTTTTTTAACGTAAACCTTTTTTACTGGCCACTTCCAAGAATGCTTTACAGGTTGTGCAAAAACATTTACAGACTCCATGTGGTGTTTTTCTCACAAAAGCTTTTCCATCTACAACAGATGTCTGATAACACTAACCAAGTCTAAGGAAAACAAGGCTGAGGTCCCTCGAATTGCCACAGTCCACATCCCTTCGGACACTTCATGAGACAGCAGCTCAGATGCCCCTGCTGCTGGGGTGACGGCTGTACCCTAACCCACCGGGAGGGAGGTGCCAGTTTCACCCCTCCCACCTACAAGAACGGCTTTGTAAAAAAGATGACTTTGTAGTGTCAAAAACCAACAGCAGGCCAGGGATTTAGCTCAGTGGTTCCATTGCCTGCCTCGAAAGTGCAAGGTCCTGAGTTCAATCTCCAGTACCAAAAAAACCAACAGCAGACTTTTTCCTAACCCTCCCCCATGAAGCCCAGGGTGGTTTCAGCTTTGTCCCCTGCCCGAGGGCGCTGGCATGCCCATCTGTGTCTCTGAGACATGGAAAGGCGCTTTCCTACCTGGGGAGACCCAGGCCACTGTCGTGGCGTGACCCTGGGCTGCTCACCTCACCCTCACCCCAGCGCTGGGCAGAGCTTCTCCACACTCCTGAAGGAGAGGGTTAGTGGGTTACGCGTCCTTGCTATCTCTTCACCCACTGCTGTGTAAAATCCACTGTGTGGCACCAGCAGAGGCACCACCAGGAGCGAGCAAGCTGCTGTCCTGCCAGCCCCACTCAGGCCTCAGGCAGAGGAGCTTGGTGGAGGGTGTCCTGACGGGCGGCCAGGGGCAGGGTCCGCACACCTGCAGAGGCCACATCGAGCAGCACACCTCGAGGGTGCGACGTGTTCTCCAGGGCCAGACCCAGTGTCCTCTCCTAGGAAGCGCTGGGCACGACGCTGAGAAGGGAGGGGAATGAAAGCAAGCCAAATACAAAACAGCACGCCTGTTTCCCACCTGGATCCTTGAACCCTGCAACATGCGTGTCGGGAGTTAGGCCGTGTTGGCCAGTCCAGGGGCCCACGTAGGTGTCTTGGCCCAGGCCCCAAGGTCAGAGGAGGCTCCTTCCTACACCAGCAGGCATGGCCACGCCTTTCCCTCGGCTACGTACAAAAGCCCCACAGGGCAGCACCCTGCCCTGCAGAAAACGCTGGCTGCTCAGCACAGGGCTGAGCCCGCACCGACTTGCAAGGCCCGCTGCGGGCTGCGAGTGGAAACCCTGAGAATCAGAATCACTCCCCCTCCACCACCAGAGGTCCACAGACCTCCAGCACCAGGCCAGGCGTGAGACCACACTTCACCCTCCTGAGACTCCACAGGGCTGAGGATGCACGCAGAGTGGCGGGGGACCCTAGGTAGCAGAACCCTGACTGGCAGCCTCTGCGCCTCCACCGAGCACAAAGTGCAGCAAAGGGACAGGGAAGAGTTGGGCTGCCCAGCCCAGGAGACCAAAGGTCCCAAGAGGGAAAGGTCGGTAAAGAAAATGCAAACGGTTAGTCGGTGAAGTGATTGCCAAGAGCCGATCGTTTATTTCGCTGCCTGCTTGGCCGCTCGCTCGCGGTCAGTGGGCTGGTGGGTCGGTGGGCCGGTCGGTCACCAGCGCCCTGGCCCCCACCTGCTCCTACCTGCCGCCGAGCACCTTCCTCCTCCCACCGCGGCCCGCTGCGTCGCCGCCGCCAGCGTCAGAGGTGACACTGCAACTGCAGGTACAGAACAGGCAGCCCTAGTTCTGCGCAAATGTTTGGATTACAAATATCTAACTAGGTTTGAAATGTTTTATAGAATAAGACAATATTCTTTTCAACAAACTTTTAAAAAAATGTACAGTTTTGTTGTTTCCGCCTCCCCCCGCCCTCCCATTGCGTGCCCTCCCCCCACCCCTCCCAGCAGCTCAGCCCCACCCCGACAGCCCCTGTTTTCCTTGGTTGTGTTTGGGGGGGTGCCTGACACCCCCAGAGACCCAGCTTCGTGGCTGACAGGCGACCACGCAGGGGCTTCACCGGTACCCTTGGTAGCCGTAGTAGTTCCTGTAGTACCGGTCTCGGTCCTGCGGGTGGTGGTAGTAGTAACTCTGCCACTGGAAGAGAGGGGACCGTCAGGGAGCGGCTGCACCCAGGCCCCAGCTGCAGCGCCGCCCTCCCCCTAGCCGAGGCACTCACGTCCCGGCTGTACTGTCTGTAGTAGTCTCTGTATCTGTTGTACTCGTAGTCTCGCCCGTAGAACCGGTCATAGTCTCCTCGGTAGCGGTCGTAGAAGTTCCGGTAGCCCTGGGAAAGGAGCACAGTTACGGGGTTTTGGCAGCCTGACCCACTGTGCCCCTCTCGGCTCGACAGTGCAGACGGGATGAGTTTGGTCAGATGAACACACTGGGCGGCCAAAGCCCTCAGCCCCGAGAAGACAGCCCAAAGCCCTCTGCTGCCCAGCGCGGCCAGAGGGAGGGGCAGGGCCGCACTCACCCCTCTGTTTCCAGACTGCCCCCAGTACTGCTGCCCGTAGGCCCGGCTGTCGTAGCCTCGGCGCTGCCCGCCCACTGGAAGAGAAACGGAGAGCGCTCAGACAGCTGGCACAGGGTCCTGGCTCCATGTGGAGCGGGAAGGGAAAGGTCGGAGCCACGATTGTGGGGAACTGCGGGGAATGGGGGCCTGCCTGGCCAGGCACCTGCCATGCCAATTAAAGCCCAGCGCCAGGGTCTCTGAAGAGTGGGGGAGGGCAGAGAGAACCAGGCCACCTTCCTGGGGATGCCCCCAGTTCCCTCAAGACATTTAGGGGGGCGAGAAGACCCGTGGCAGAGTAAGGAACACGAGCATCTGCCATTCAGAGTGTCACGGACTGTCAGCCCTGCGAGAGAGCCAAGGAGTCACAAGGCCCATCCCCACCATTTTCTTTTCTTTTCTTTTTTTTGGAACCAGGGATTGAACTCGGGTCCTGGCGCTTGCGGAGCAGGTGGTGAAACCACTGAGCTAAACCGCCCGCCCCCTCATCCTCTATGTGAGAAGCCGTCTACACCGCGTGCTCTTGGAGGAGGGGCACTGTCTGTCCCCAGCACCCAACATGCAGCAGGCCCTCAGCACACTTGCACACACACTGCACGAGCACAGCTTGTCCTGAGTGTTAGCTGACGAACAGACCTGCAGGGGAGAATAATTCCACTGACAGCCTAGAGCTGGCTTATTAATTAGCCCCAAATTGATTTACTGAAGACTGTGTTCATTGTCTGGCCTAAACAGCCAGGTTGACCCAAGAGGCAAAGCAGCAAGGAAACATCAGATGAGAATAGGGTGTCGCTGCACAAACCATTCCACTACACCGGCAGTGACGCATGGGACACCCACGTGTTAGCATGACAGCTGGACACGTAAGAAGGCACAGCACGCTTTTCAAGAAACAAGTATTTTGTGGAAAAGGCATTATCCTTTTTATGGAAGAATTACAGGACAGCTAAGTCGGCAGGGAAAGGACACAGGAGGAAACCCGCTCCACCGAGGCACTTCCTTACTGCCAGTGGCTTGGCTTCCTGGCCTTCTCAGCAGGGCTCCCGAAATCGGCCCAAATGCTGACTGCAGTGGGACTGCCTGGTTTCTGGACTCACCGTAGCCCTGGCCCCGGCTTCGGTTCTGCCGGTTGCGCTTGTTCCTGTTGTTCCGACGGTTTGTGCGCTTCTCCGATGGGGGCAGCACCTTCCTGGCCTCCTCCTTGTACTTGGTGACAATGGGCTGAGCTTCCTCCTTTTCCAGCTCCCCGTATGTCACCTCATCCATATAATCACACTTTTCAGGCAGAGAGAAGTTGGCTATAAGAGTAAGAGAGAAGCTTGTGGGCCTGAAAAGTGCATAGATGGGTAAGAACTCATTATGAAAATTCTACTACAGAAAAGGTAAGAATTTCTAAGCTTCATCTAGTAATGCACAAAAATGTGCTGGTTCACACCCACTCACACCTAAATACCAAAACTGATCTTCTCTACGCTAAATTTTAACACCCCAGGCAAAGCACTATCTGCCAACTGTTGATTCACAAGGTCTCAAGTGATCCGTGATAAATTAGCAGTGAACTGGGCTAAGGTTTCTTATCAGGACAGAAGCAGGTAATGGAGGCCAAAAGCAATCGAGAAAGTTTTGGTGTCAGTTAGATAAGATGCTAAGTGACATTTTAGAAAGAGGCTGGCCTTGCAGCATCTGCTACCTACACAGTGAGAGCAGGGAACAGGAGCATGGTCCTTGGTTAGCCCGAGTGGGCTGGACCAGCACACTCTGTACTCCAAGTTCACAGGCTGCCCTGCAGACCTCACTGCAATGGGGTTCCCGGGATTCTTCAATGAATCCAGTTAGTCTTGTTTCTTATAAAACTGACATTAATTCCTGAGAGCCTGAGTATCAGTCATAGACTTGTATAGCTCATTTTGCATAAATGTGGAGGATGAGACTCAAAGGTTTCCACAGGCAGAGAAAACCCAGCCATTGTCAGGGCAGGTGGGAGCCACCAGTTAAGGGGAAAATCAGGGAAAATCAACTAATGGAACAGCAGGAAGCAAGAGCAACCAAAATAGCTAATGCTGTCTTGTGGGGACCTTGCTCTGGGGCTGCTATAATGCATAAGTCACTTAATGCAATACCATAGAAACAACTAAGCAAGGAAAAACTAAAAACAAGCCTACTACAATACCATAAATCAATATCCACCAGTGAAATCCTCATTCCAACTGCCCTGTTTTGATTTGAACCATAGCATCTTCCCAGCCTTTCATGAAATAAAAATGCACTTGCTCTACTTTGCAATGCGGGATAGTGCTGGGCAAACAGTAGACACCACACATATTTTCATACCAAGTGATTTACTTAAGGAAGCTTCTTGTTTGAGTTTAATCTTTATATCCTTCAGTGCTAGGGACTGAACCCAAGGACTCACGCCTACTAAGCAAGCGCTCTACAGCGGAGCTATATCCCAGCCCATCACTGAGTTTAATTATCCTGTGATCTGTCACGGCTTCCCTTTTTGTGATTCATCCAGGATGAGTCACAAGGTCAGTGCTCATAGTGGGAATGGTGGCACACGCCTGTCATCCCAGCACTCAGGAGGCTGAAGCAAGAGGATCCCCACAAGTTCAAGATCAGCTTGAACTACATAGTGAGAGCTCGTCTCAGAAATCAAAAAACAACAAAAAAAAGGGCCAGGGATTTAGCTCAGTGGTTCCGCCACCTACTGTGCAGGTGCAAGGACCCGAGTTTGATCCCCAGTACCAAAAAAAAAAAAAAAACCAGAACAAAAAATGGAGGAGTCACTACTTTGTTATTCCCTGTGCTCATTCACTCATCCACAGCACTCACACCCACTAAAGTGAGCTTCTGGGTCAGGGCCAGAGCAACTCCTGGGCAAAAGGCCTGCTAACTACAACCAATGAGGGGCAGGGGGCAGGAGTCCTAGGTGTGTAACTTTAGCCCACCTTTCATCTCTAGCATTATGGACTCAGGCACATCGTCTCCCTCCACTTCCTTCCTCAACTCCAGCCTCTTCTTCCAATCTTCCTCATTAGGAACAATCACCACCACCTTCCGGGAGAAAGTCTTGAACAACAATAGCTTCCGCCGTTGGCCAGAGTTGTACACATTACACTAGGAACAGAAGGAATAGTTGTTCAGGAATAAAAACCACCATTTAACTTCTACCAAAACTTTGTATCTTTTATAACTGGAGCATCAGATGAGGGGATCAATATGTGCAATTGCCTTTTTAAAAAACTTTACATGACAGGTATTACTTATCTAACCCAAAAAACTGAGATTCAGTGAAGCAAAAGGACTTATCCAAGATCACAAATCTTGTAAGTGGGGCCAGAAATTCTGAGCTCCAGGTCTTTTCAATACCTCTATTATCTGGTCCTATATACTCCAGTAAAAACACCAATAAGGGTACCTCTGTAATGTTTAAAACAACCATAACTAAAGTTGGATGTGGTGGCGCACACCTGTAATCCCAGCAATTGGGAGGCTGAGACAGGAAGATCACTGTGAGTTCAAGAACAGCCTGTACTACACAATTTGAGTTCCAGCCTGAAGTATATAGTAAGACCCTGTTTCAAGGCCGTCCCCTCAAAAGAAAAACAAACCCACCATAACTAGCCACGCATGTTACAATGAGTTCAAGAACAGCCTGAGCTACACAACCAGACCCTGCCTCCTGCTCAATTCAGTCTTTCTTCATATATGCACCCCAATTTGGCTCTAAGTAATTTTATTAAGTGGATACAAAATATTCATCTTTTTATCTTCTTTTTTTTGGTACCCGGGATCGAACTTGGGTCCTGGCGCTTGTGAGGCAGGCGGCGGAACCACCTGAGCTAAACCCCCGGCCTGTCTCTGTATCTTCTGAAAAGCTGGGTTTCTTTTGATTATCTGGACAATACCTGATCAAGAATAAAGTTCCTCTTTGTCCGAGAAGCGATCTGGACCAGCTTACTAAGGCACTGGGAGGCTTGCTGAACTGAAAGGTCTCGGCTTTCAGGGTCCATCCCTGGCTCCTCCAGCCCCTTCATCTGCAAATGTGAGAGATGGGTAAAGGAACACAAGGAGTTAGATGTCAAGTTCAGGCCCAAGAGACACTGCTGCCACTTCAAATGCCACCTTGTCACCTCAATTCATCCTTTGGCTCAATGTTGTGACATTATTTCTTGCAGTATCATTTCTAATCAACCTGGATAGATCCCAGATTTTATCTACTTTCAAAAATTTTACAATACAACAGAGGAAAAAGAAAGTCCACTCACAACACATAGAGAACAGCTCCCTTCTCCCTCTGTGGGACCCTTGTTCTCAGACCCTTGAGACTAACTCTCCATGGAGGGCAGCTGAGGAGTTTCCTGGTCCCCCCAGCAAGCACTGCGCTGGGCAGTCTCCCTGTACTCACCCTCATCTGACTGAGCACAGTCTCAGCTCCCAGAATGTTGTATCTCTTCTCAGGGTTTTCTTTTGCGTATTTTAGTGCCCACTGGGTCTTTCCAGATCCAGGTAGTCCCACCATCAGAATCACCTGCAAGTAAACAGAATCAGGAAATGCAATGAAAATAAGTGAGGGTCAATTTATAAAATCCCATTTAAGCCAGGTATGGAGACATAAGCGTACAATCCCAGCTACTGGGGAGGCAGAAGCAGGATTAAAAGTTGGAGGGCAGCCTAGGTAACACAGTGAGACCCCATCTCAAAAGCACAATCCTCTAAAACACAGACAGGTGAGAAGCACCCCCTCCCAGTCTGTTAATGCTTTGAGAAGAGGCCGGGCAACTTACCCACCCACCACCCCAAAGCAGGAGCCCCAGGTGGGCGCACCTCACACTCTTCAGTGGTCTTGGGTGGGACTGCAGTGCGCACACGCTCCTCGACAGGCACGGTGTGGATGAACACAAACTCTCCGGGGGGTGGGAAGAAGGGTTCCTCCTTCTGACCAAAGTTTAATTCTACAACACAATTTCTGCAGAGGACATGGGGTAGGAGGGCGCGATCTGCCAGGGAGTCCTTGGTGATCCGGAATGCCACACCTAGATCTTCTGCATTCTTGGAGAAGGAAAGCTCTACTTCTTCAGCCTCAAAATTCTACAGGGACAAAGCACAAGAGCGCTCAGGGGCTGACAGGGCCCGAGTGTTGACTAAACCTTAGTTTAATCTCGTCTGAAACTCATCTGCTGCGCCACACAATGAAACCAGCCATGCACCAGATGCGAAGCCAGCCATGCACCACGTGCAAAGCCAGCAGTGGGTGGGTGCACAGTGCACTCCCAGGGTCCTCAACCACCCCAGGACCCCACCGTTTCAGAGACACTTACAGCAAAGCAGCCAATAACGTCATTCTCCCCAAAAGTCTGGCCAAACTCCTCAAACTGGCTGTTCTGTGCCTTGAGTCCACGTCCATCAAAGCCATAAGAGAATTCATCCTCACCTAGAATAGCCAATGCTCAGTTACTGGCCCAAAGTTCCCCTAGATAAGCAAGATGGTAGCAAACACAGGCAAGGAAGTTACAAAATAACTTTACCTAGCTGAGGACCAGAAAAATCAACAGACCACCCGACTCGGAGGACAGAAACCTCTGTGCAGCCTTCTTTCACTGGGAGATTCTGGGTTACCTGGCCAAGTCAGAAAAGGAACTCAGGTAGTCTGACCACTCAGGAACAAGGAGTTAGAAAGACAAGATTTTACATAAACTGAAAATGACAGGTATCACACAGACATCAGAACAGCAACTGTCACTTAACCTAAGCTGGGGGTCAATTTCTTGGTCACTAGAACTAAGGTTATTGTTAACACAGGGTAAGGGGCTGGGAATGTAGCTCAGTGGCGCCATGCCTGGCTTGAAAGCGCAAGGTTCTGAGTTCGATCCCTGGAGGGGGGAGCTATCACAACAGGGTAGAGGGGAGGGGGCTTGAGGGGAGGAATGAGATAAAATAAAATTTTAGAAAAATAATAAAAAATAAAAACAGGGTGACTTTTCCTGTACTAGTAAAACATTAATGGATAGGAATCCAATACACAGATACTTTAAAGAACAAATTAACAAAGAGTGGCTGTGATGAGCTACTACCTTGGCCTCAAAGCAGACTTTTCCCTTTGTGACTCCGTAAGTGCTCCTCGCCCCAGACCAGAGGGTGGGGAACTTCTCTGAGAAGAGTGGCTGGCCTCCGTAACGGTCTTTGCTCACTTGGAAGTGAAGATCTGAGGTATCTGTAAGAAAGATGGGGCTGGTTTACTGCATGGCCCAGCTCTGGACAGCCACCCACCACATAAAACAAGTGTGCCCAATGTCAAGAATGGGGGCCAAGTCTCTGAGGAGGTGCAGGCCAAGAAGTTCTGATCCCCAAAATCACTTTTAGGAGAGCAGTTAAACCCCAAGTGTTTTTGCCTTATACATACACGTGTCCAGGTTCACAAGAGTCTGGTCCTCCTCCTCCTCCTTTGCCTCCTCCTCAGGAGGTGGTGGAGACTTGGAGCTATAGAGAAAGAAGTAAATCCATGCAGCCACAGCTCTCTTCCAGTCTGCAGGACTTAAACTACCAGTGAGTAACAAACCCTGGCAGACAGCTTCTTCCACCAAACCAGAGTCCACCTACAAGCCTGCTTCCACTTCTGTCCCCCAGACTTGATCAGTGGGCAGCACGCCACTCAGGCCGCCGCTCCACGGGGAGGACCAGGGCCTACCGGCTGTGGTGAGCCTCCTCTCGGAACTCGTAGTAAGCACGGCCATGTTCGTCTTTCTCATCCCGCTGCCTCTTTACCCCTCGCCGCTCACCATCCAAGCCTGCCGGCTTTGACTTCTCACTGTCTTGGTCATCTCCTACCAAAGTAGGTGAAGAAAATCAGCACTTTTTACACTGGAGTGTGGAATAAGCTCAGAACCAACCGAAACCAAATGGGCACTTGAGTATGTCCAATCAGAAGTCAGGTTATTTCAACAGCACCCATAGCACACTTTATTTCCAAAGATTATTTTTTGTCTTTGGCTAGAATTTTATGGGGGGCGGTGCATTATGGGCTAACATGCAGTCCAGCAGTTGATAAAAACCGGGCAATTTTGTATTCTAAATTTATCTACTTAATCAGGTCAAACTTGAAAATTTCCCCATTAATATATAAGTGGTCTCTAAAAAAAACCTTCACAGGTTAATTCAATCCACCAAGTTTAGATTTAAGGCAGGCACTTTATATTTTCTAATACTTTTCCAGTCATAACAGAGACCTCAAATTTTTAAGAGTTTACATTCCCTGCATTAAAATATACAAGCACCCATGACTTTACTTACATAGCAAATGAACTCAAGAGCATGATACACAGCTGTATTTTTTATCGGGGATTTACTGAAAGTTGCAGGAGCAAGTAATTAAGTCACAAGAAACTCATAAATAATACTGCATCTTTACTGCACACAAGGTGTTATATTTATAGTGACTTTTTTTTTCTGGAACCATCACTGAGCTCCATCTCCAGCCCATTTTCGATTTTGAGACAAAGTCTCATAAAGTTATCCAGGCTGGACTGAACTTGCAATCCTCCTGCCTCAGCCTTCCAATGGGATGGAATTTACAGGGGTGCACCACCATATCTGGCATGCAACATTTTTTACAAAAGGAAAAAAGCTAGTTTTCCCTTAAGCTTTAATATTTTGCAATAGAATGTTTTTAATAACAGTATCTTTAAAACCTTTATCCTTCAACGCTTTTATTTGGTATTTGGGATACACACGAGTCAAAGATTATGTAATGAGATTTTTGTCTAGGACATCAGACGAAAAAATCTAAAAGTTGTACGTGACTGCTATAAAACAGGTTCCAATTACACCACGATATTTGAGAGCAGCCTAAAACACGTGTTACAGCAAGAATTTAGGGAAACCACACTGCAAGGATTCGGGGGCCAGTCTAGGTTCCCTCCCTAATCTGATGGATACAGTTCCCGGACAGCTCTAGCCACTCAATCACCAAAACAAAGGAAAAAAGGCCACCGACGCCCCGGGCGCCCCCCACAGCCTCTTCCCAAAGGTCCGGTGGACCCCAGCCAGCCGACCTCGACCCATTCAACTCCGGAAGTGGAGAGTCTGACAGGTAAAAGGCAGGCCAGCCCAAGTGCTCAGCAAACCTACAGTGCCCGCGCACCGCCTCCGTGGGAAGACCCACACGTAATCGAGCGCGGGCCACGCAGCTAAAGTGTCCAGATGCGCGGGGGACGGCCTTCCCTTCCGGGTTAATGATTAAGCCCAGCGCTCGGCAGGGCAGGGCAGGGCAGGGCGAGTGCGCTCCGCTCACTGCTCGACTTTACCACGGCAGCCCAGGCCTGAGCCTGCCACCGGGGGTCCCTGTCACCGCCAGTCCCTCTGCACACTCTGGGCTGGGGAAGAGGTGCGGACGCGGGCGAGGCCGCTCCACAGGTGGCTCGCGGCGGGCGGGATCGCCTTCCCGCGATAGCAGAGCAGGGGAAGGGCCGGGATCGGGGCAGGGGACAAGGGTCCGATGGCGGGGACAGCACGGGGCGCCCGCCGCCGCCCACCTGGCTCCTCCGCCGCGCCGCCACCCGCCACCTCGTCCCCGCTGCGCTCCTCGTCCCCGCCGCCGTCCTCGCCCTGGCCCTGGCCCGGCTCCTCGCCGCCGTTCACGCCGCCCGGCCCCGCCGCCGCCTCTGCCTCCCCCGCCGGCTCCGCGCTCGACCCGGGCCCGGGCTCTGCCTGCGCAGCCATCTCCTCGGGGCGCTCGGGGACCGCGGCGCACTCGGGGCCCGTGCCCGGCGGCGGCTCCTCATCCTCGTCCTCCAGCAGCGCCTCTTCGTCCTCCTCTTCGTCCTCGTCCTCGTCCTCGTCCCCGACTGTGCCGCCGCCCGCTGCCGCCGACACCACAGGCCGCGGCTCCGCCTGGCAGGCCCCGCCGGGCCCGGGCGCGCCGCCCGCCTCGTCCTCCAGCATCTCGGCGTCCAGCGCCTCCTGGAGCCGCTGGGCCAGGTCCATCTTGAGGCCGCGCGAATCCAGGCCGCGCCGCTGCAGCTCCGACCGCAGCTCGGTCACTTTCAGCCGCTTCACCTCCATCGCCGCCTCCCGCCGCCTCCTCCCCTGCGAGCAGCCGGCCGCGCCGCACCGCGCAGGCGCCGCCGCCCGCCTCCGCCTCCCGCGCCGGCGCGGGGCCCGCGCAAGCGAGCGACCGAGTCCCGCGGCGAGGTGGCAGCGTCGCCTTCCTGCCGCGCTGCCCCCGCGACCCGCGCGGCTCAGAACGATGCAGCGGGGGTCGGTTTCTTTCCAGGCGCCTCGGTCCCGACCGCGGGCGCGCGCTCGGACGACAGAGCTCCCCCGGGCCGCTTTCGCCCGCCTCTCCCTCGCGCCGCGGGCCAATCAGCGCCAGGAGTTTTACTGCGCAGCCGCACCGCTTCCCGAAACGAGCAGGGCTGGCTGCGGCTCAAGTCCCTCGTATCCCGGAAGTGTGTCCGCGCTCGGCTTTCCGTACTTTAGCTGGGACTCTGCGCAGGCGTTGTGCGTGCTCCTTACAGCTCTGGTCTCCCGTAGTCCTGCTCACTTCCGGTCGCAGCGGCATCTTGTCACTACAATACTCTGTGCAGGCAGCAGCCTTGTGAAAGTAAAAGAAGCCGGAGGAAAACTGCTGTTAACATGAAAACTCATTAATAATTGTTTGTTTGGCTTGTTGAGTTCTCCAGAACTCAAGGATACAGTAACAACTGTTCCTCTTTTCTGAACGCCTCAACTTCTACCCAGCAACACACGTCCGGGCCCCGCCTTTCTTCCCTGTCATTGGCCAGCTTGAATTGGTGTCTGCCACTCTGATTGGTCAATGTTGATCGCCCTGATTTTTCCAATTGGCGACGCAGTCTTTTGAGAGGCGGGTCGTTCCTGCGGGATTGCCTCTCCGCGCCGCCTCTGACTGGGGGCTGTGGCGCAGTGCGCGGGACCCTTTAGTTCTCCCTGTCTGAGGCCAGACCTGTCGTCCCCGCGCTGCGCGAGGAGCCGCAGTCCCAGGGGGACTTCCGGGCTCGGGCTGCACAGAGGCCGGAAGGGGCGGGCGCTCGCGGGCTCGGAGCCTGGGTGCCTGTGCCTCCGCTCCTCGCCTGCGGGCCGTGGCGCCGGCCTCGTCCGCCTCGGTCCCGACCCTGGCGAAGGCTTGGTAGAAGAGGACACAGGCGTGCGCCTGGGATCCCAGCACGCTGGAGGCTGAGGCGGGAAGATCGCAAGTCCTGTCTGGGCTGAGCAACTTGGCGAGACCCTGCCTCAAAATAAAAAATAAAAGGGCTGCATTGTAGCTCCGGGCGAAGGCCCTGGTTGCATCCCCTCTGCCAGGAAGGGGGAAGAAAGGACCTGGAAGAGCTGGGAAAGGGGAGCCTAGCTGCCTCGCCTGGGCGGCTGTGCCAGCCCGCCCGCTTGCCTGCCGGCCCAGAGCCGCCCGCGAGGCCCATGGAGGCGCGGCTGCAGGAGGCGCAGCTGCTCAAGGAGCAGGGAAACCAGCGCTACCGCGAGGGCCGCTTCCGGGCCGCGGCCGGCAGGTACCACCGCGCGCTGCTGCAGCTGCGGGGACTGGAGCCCGGCCCGGCCCCCGATCCGGGCCCGCGGGCTTCCGCGCTCTCGGCCGCGCTGGAGGACGCGCTGCGCAGCACGCAACTGGCCTGCTACAACAACCTGGCAGGTGGGCGGGAGCTCCTCCCTGCCTCGGCGGCGGGCGGCCCGGGGTGCGGGGCCTTCGAATGCGCTCACCGCATGCAGAAAACCGCGGCTGCTTCTGAGGGAAGCTCGGGGCTGGGAAACGGTCGCAGGCGTCAGCCGGTGGTCGGTCCTGTTTGCCGTGGCGTTTGAAGGCTTTCCGTGTAAGGCCAGGGGACTGGGGTAGCGAGTGTCTCCCGTGTCCAGATGTGTCAGCAGGCCTAGGCTGAGAGAGGAGACTAGGTCCCTTCCGTGACAGGCAAGTGCTAACCGGGGAACTCACTTCAGGGTAGCGGACGCTGACGGTGCAAGTCGAGGCTGTGGCTATTGAGATGCCTCCCAGGACCCCACACTCCTTCGTGAATGTGCACTTGTTTAATTCTGCCTCCTAAGCTGTTCTTAAAAGAAAAATTGGGAGTTTTTATATTTCCTAATGGTTGTTTAAAGTGACTTTTTTTTAATCCAGTGGTACTGGCGATGGAACCCAGGACCCGGTCCTTGCACATGCTAAGCAACGGCACTACTGCTGCGGTACATCACCATCTCTAAAGTTATTTTTAACACTGACATTATTTATTAGCTGTGGTGTGCTGAGACCCTAGGTTTGTTTGCCTTTGGTTTTGAGACGGGTTTTCTGTGTATCGAAGGCTCACTTCGGACTCGAGGAGGACTTCCTGCCTCTGCCTCCTGACTGCTGGGATTACTGTTGTGTCCTTTTGGCAGGGTGTGTCCAGTTGTACCCTCACCCAGAGATAACAGAAATAGTGTAGTTGCTGGAGTTTTAATTCACTCAAGTGAAAAGCTACACAAAGGTACTGTTTAAACCCTTTACACATGTCACCCTGTGCTCCTGTCTCAGGATGCTTAGGAGAGGCCCCCATGCACCGCTGGATTGACAGCCTGTGTTTATTGAGTGCCTCGAAGGTACCCGGCAGTTCATCTACAAACTCATCCTCACAGAAGCCCTGGCTATTAGATGATTATACTCATTTTGGGGTAAGGTCACAGCCTGAGGCCCTCCAGGGGCCTTCGTCACCTTTAGGAGAAAGTCCAGTGCCTTCCCCCCACCCCCCAGCAGCACTGGGGATGGAGCCCACCTGTGGCCTTTGCCCGCTGGTCCTGGCACAGCCCCTCCACACCTGAGCGTTTGGAGCACGTTCCCACCCCTCACTTTGTAGGTGTCTTCTCTGGGGCTTGACGCCCTGTTTCTTCACTGGTCCTTGTCCTGCAGATCTGGGCTCAAAAGCTGCTTTCTGCTGGGTGTGGTGCTGGGTAGGAACCAGCCTGTGAGCTGGCCGCGAACCTGACCAAAGGGTGATGAAGTGGAAAAACGAGACACAGAAACACACTAAGATCTGGGGGCAGGGCGCTCAGTCTCCCTTAGACATGGAGCTCCACGTGACTGGTGAACCTGGGTTTATTCACCAGACGCCAGACGCGGCACGAGCAGTGGGAGCTCCCCAGGACTCCTGTCTCCCTCTCCACTGGCCTCAGAGTAAACAGCCTGGCCCCTGCTTGCTTTGCTCTCCCCGAAGCGTGTCAGTGCTCTTGCACGCCCTCTTCCTCCTCAGTGCTCACCGAGGAGGCCCATTGGGTCTCATTCTTCCCATCCAGTCTTACATAGTGTTGCACACCTGTGATCTAGTGACTTTCAGGAGGCAGAGGCAGGAGAATTGCAAGCTCAAACCCAGTATGGGCAACCTGGTGATTTAGTGAAACCCTGTCTCAAAATGAAGAACAAAGCGGGGTGTGGTGGCACATGGGTGTAATCCCAGTCTGGAGGATGGCTGTGAGTTCAGCCCATTCTTGAAGAGTGAGACTCTCAAAAAAAGAAAAAAGAAAAAGGTGCTGGGTTCCATCCGCAGTACCCCATGTACATACACACAGGTAAAGTGAAAAGGGTTTTAACTGAATTCTTAAAGGGTGTTCTTCGGGTCTCTAACTAGGCCTATCCTGCCCCTGACAGTGTCCCGAGGTGAGTGGGAGGTGGTGCTCGTGCTAAGTGTTCCCCCTCTGAGCCCTGTGCTTCCTGTGACTCAGGCAGCCTGGTGGAGCAGAGTTACTGAGGCTCCTGCTGTCCCCTTTCCCCCACCCTAGCCTGCCTCCTCCAGATGGAGCCTGTGAACTATGAGCGGGTGCGGGAGTACAGTCAGAAGGTCCTGCATCGGCAGCCCGACAACGCCAAGGCCTTGTACCGGGCTGGAGTGGCCTTTTTCCACCTGCAGGACTACGAGCAGGCGCAACACTACCTCCTGGCGGCCGGGCACAGACAGCCCAAAGGTGAGCCAGCGGGGCACCGAGAGGGGCCGCACTTCCCAGCTGGCAGCTCGCCACCTGCATGACCACCACACCTGTTCTGTCCATCCGTCTCCACAGCTGCCAAGTGTCAGAGTTGGCCACCTAGGTCAGTGATTGGCGAACCTCTTAGAGCTTTCGAAGATAATAGCCAATTGCAGCACACTTGACATAGGTTCGCCACCACTGGGCTAGGCGGTATCTGTGGAAAGGGGTTTTTTTGTTGTTGTTGTTTTGTTTTGTTTTGTTTTGTTTTGTACCAGGGATCGAACTCGGGACCTTCTGCTTGTGAGGCAAGCAGTGGAACCACTGAGCTAAATCCCTGGCCCTGTTGCTTTTTGAGACAGGATGTTGCTGTGTAGTTCAGGTTGACTTGAAGTAACTAGCCCAGGCCAGCCCTGAACCCAACATTTATTTTATTTTTTTGTAAATAGGTAAGATATTCATGATTCAAAATTCCTTTTTTTTTTTTTTGGTACTGAGGATCAAACTTGGGACCTTGCGCTTTTTTGAGGCAGGTTGCGGAACCCACTAAGCTAAATCCCCGGGCCTCAGAATTCTAAAACTAGCAGGGTGTGGTGGCTTATGCCTGTAATCTCAACACTAGGGAGGCTGAGGCGGTCGGATCACTATGCGTTCAAAGCCAGGCTAGGCTACATAGTTCAAGACCACCCTGCACTACATAGCAAGACCCTGTGTCCAAAAAAACAAAATAGCCAGGCATGGTGGTCCATACCCATCATCCCAGCAATTGGGAGGCTGAGGCAGGATTGCTGCAAGTTTGAGGCCATCCTGGGCTACACAGTGAGTTCAAGGCAGCCTGAACTACACAGTGAAACCTTGTGTCAAAAAAAAAATTATAAAAGTATAAAGAGGAAAACAGGCTGAGTGTGGTGGCTCACACCTGTAATCCCAGACTCAGGAGACTGAGGCAGGAGGATCACTGTGAATTCAAGGCCAGCCTGAACTACATAGCCTGTCTCAAAAAAACAACAGATTAATAAGAATACAATGAAAAGGGGGGGCGGGATTTAGCTCAGTGGTTCCACCCCTGCCTGGAAAGCTCAAGGTCTCAAGTTGGATCCCTGGTACCAAACAAAACAAAACAAAACACAGAATACAGTGGAAATATTCTTTCACCTCTTATTCTTATTTCCACAAGAAAATAGTGTTAGTCTTGCGTGCATGCATAGGAGACATTTGTGCGTAACAGTGCATGTGCATAGACACCTGTTGCCTCTGTCTGCCTGCCTGTGCTGTAGAGATACGCCTCTGTACCTCTGGGTGTCTGTGTGTGCTGGGGATTGTCCCCAAGGCCTTTGTTCACACTGAGCTACGTCCCCAGCCTTTTTTTTTTTAAAACAGTCTCACTGGGGGTGGGGACGTAGCTCAGTGGTTTCGCTGCCTGCTGTGTAAGCGCAAGGACCCAAGTTCGATCCCGGTACCCCCCCCAAAAAAGAAGACAGTCTCACTAAATTGCCCAGGCCTGGCTCAAATTTGCAAGTCTTCCTGCCTCAGCTTCCCACAGTGCTGGGATTACAGGTGTGCCATGTATGCTTCTCTGTATTGTATGTATGTAAGCCTGTTGTGGTTTTGTGATTTTTTGTTTTTGTAAGCCTGTTTTTATGTGTGCATACAAAGCCCTACCCTGGCAGGGATTTGTGTGTGTATGTGTTTGCAGAGGATTGAACCCAGAGCCCTTCACGTATTAAGCGTGTGCTCTCCCCCGAGCTACACCTCCGGGTGTTTTTTTAGATTTTTTTTAGGACAGGGCCTCTATGTAGTCCAGGGTAGACTTGAACTGACTATGTAGCTCAGGCTGGTCTCAAACTCTTGGTGACCTTCCTACCTCAACCTCCTGAGGACTGGGGTGACAGGTGTGTGCCACCATGCCTCCCAAGATTTTTAGATTGATTAGTTTTCTTTTTTTGGTACCGGGGATCGAACTCGGGTCCTTGGACTTGGGAGGCAGGTGGCGGAGCCACTGAGCTTCATCCCTGCCAATTGATTGGTTGTCTGTAGTTAACCATAGTGCATGCCAGGGCTTTGGAGGCCACATTGTCCAGTACTGAGTCCTCAGCCTTGAAGAGGGGTGGGAAGGAGGAGGTGGCCAGGAGGACACCTGACAGTACCGATCCACTCTCCTCCTGGGATCACCCTGTGGCCCTCACCGGGCCTTGGCCCACTGTGGTGGGCCCCAGGGAAGGGGTGACCTCTGGGAAGGGGACATTGGCACTCTGGCTGGACTCAGGCTGTCCCCCCATTGGCTCATTCAGTACTAACCAAAGGATGTTGTCCCTCACGCATTCGTCCAGAACGGCTTCAGAGGTGCAACTGGAGGGTGCCCAAATGTAGCAGTGCTGCAGTCCCCCTGCTTTGGCCAGGGATGTAGCTTAGCAGTAGGGTGCTTACTGGATCAGTCCCCGGGACACGGGGAAAACACATGAGCAAACACTTGTGCACATGCAAGACCACAACCCTGCATGTAAAGCTATGATAATTCATAAATGACATGAAGTGCCACCTGCGTGACTCTTCAACAGTGATAACTATTTTACCACTCTCTTTCATTATAAAACTAGCAGCCAAGCTGGGCATGGTGGTGCGTGCCTGTAGTCCCAGCATTCTGGGACGCTGAGGCAGGAAAATTGTAACTTCCAGTCCATCCTGGGGAACTTAGTGATTTGAAGAGACCCTGTCTCAGAACAAAAGAAGGGCTGGGGACAGAGCTCAGTGCAGAGAGCCTGGGTTCTACGTCCAGTGCTGGAAAAAAAAATCAGTGACCACTCCAGCCCCCTACAGAGATCTTTTTTCTAAATCCAGAGTGGCATTTAATGAATCCACTGTTGCATAGAGCGATTGTTGTGATGCACGGGTATGTATTAACCCTCCCCTGCCCAGGACGCACTCGTGGTCTGTCGCTAACTGTCCTCTCCATCTGCCAAGATGCCAGTGTCCGGAGGTACCTGCAGCTGACGCAGTCTGAGCTCAGCAGCTACCGCAGGGAGCAGAAGCAGCTGTACCTGGGCATGTTTGGCTAACGGGAAGGCGCTCCCACCGAAGCTCAGGTGGGCCTTGAGCAGGAGTGAGGAGGCTTCTGCTTCTTGTTCTCCGCTTGGCACGGACTCTGCCACCCGCACCGTCCGCACCTGTGTCTATCCAGCTCCCAGTGCCTGTCACTGTGGGGCCTTGAGAGCTGCACCAGAAAAGATTCGCCAGCAAAGGGCAGAGTGGAGTTTCTGGCCTGGGCCTGACGGATGGACAGCTGTTGTTGCACACACAGGCGAGGGCAGCCGAGGACAAGTGTCCTCTTCCTCTTCTCAGATGCCCAGCCCAAACCAGGAAATACATCACATTGAAATGGAAGAGTTAATATTAACCACTTGTGTTTAAATTCGTGTTCTCCGTAATATTTCACAATACTCAGATTCTTTTTCCCTACAAAAGTATCTGGTTTCTATTTTTTTCCTCCTGGTAATTTATAATCCTTGCTCTTACTCATATTTAGATCATTAATAAAGAACATGTACTTTTTTATTAATCTATTCTCTTAAGACCTATGGAGTCAAGCACTTAAATATTTATCGAGTAAACCCTTCAGCCTTGTGTTAAAAAAATACCCAAGATCCCCGGTACCAAAAAAAAAAAAAATACCCAAGTATGGGCCGGGGATGTAGCTCAGTGGTTCTGCTGCCTGCCTCGAAACTGCAAGGTCCCGAGTTCGATCACTGGAAAGACAGATCACCAGATCTAGAAACAGTACCACGGCAGAGCAGGATGGAAATCAAAACCCTGGGCTGGGGAAAGACGTAGCTCAGTGGTAGAGCACTTACCAGGCCTGCCAGGATGCCAGGTTCATTCCCCAGTACTGGAAAAAAAAAAAATCCAAATCTTGTTGCCTGTCACCCAGTGTTTTGCAAGAGCACTGATCCTCCCAGAGGAGAGAAATAAGGAGAAAAGGCTGATGCTGCTTAGTCCTTTCAAGCCCGAGGAGGGTGGGAGTCCAGACTTGGTCCTGCTGAGCAGGAGGCTCCACCAGCCAGAGCTGCTCTGTGGTTCTGTTTCCTCCTCATGGACAATCTGAGGTCATGGGCACTAGGCCAGCAGTGGAGAACAAGCAGTACTGTCTACATCCAAGTGGTGGAAGTAAGCATGTGCCCTCAACCATAAACCAAGTAGATTTCGGGGAAAGAAAGACAGTACCCTAGTCCAGTGGTGGTGAACCTTTTAGAGCTTTCAGTGATAAACAGCCTACTGTGGCATGTGTGGCATAGGTCCCCCACCACTGCCCTCTTCCTTTTCGGTACTCACATCCCTGGTGGATGTGGTGGTGCATGCCTGCACTGGGGAAGCTGAGGCAGGAGGATCACAGAAAATTCCAGGCCAGACGGCTACATATATAGTGAGTTCAAGACCACCCTGAACTACACGGTGAGACCTTGTCTCAAAAAAACACCACCAGGCTCTCTCCCAGTGGACTAGACTCCTCTTTATTCCTCCCTATACCTTTAAGTAATACAATCAACAACAAAAGAAAGTTTTTCTACCAAATAATTTCATGATGTCCAAGGACAGAATTAAAAAATAGTGTTTGGCTCCTTTTTCAAACGTCTTGAATTGCTTAGTTAGGGTTATTAACAAAAGTGTCAGTGCAAATCTTACCAAGTCAGTTTAGCCAGAAACCGTTTATGTTGATGTTTCTTCTAGTAATTTTCCATCCACTGACCCACCCCTATGCTTGGGTTATAAATCCCAGCTTGTCACTGGGTCCAACCTGGGCCCCACCAGAAGACCTGGTTGCAGTGGTTCTGTACCACTCACCGTGAGCCCTCTGTGACCAAGTCTGCCTTCTCATGCTTTAAAAAGATAAATTAAATGCTGGGAATTTAATTCAGTGGTTCCAGTGCCTGCCTTGCAAGGGCAAGGTCCCGAGTTTGATACCCGGTACCAAAAGAAAAAAAAAAGGATTAAAATTATCATGGCTTAAAAAAAAAATGTCATGGCTGGGTGTGGTAGCCTATGCCTGTAATCCGGAGGCTGAGGCAGGAGAATTGCTGAGTTTGAGGCCAGTCTGAACTACATAGCGAGACCCTATCTCAAAAAAAAAAAAAAAAAAAGAAGTCATGGCTGCATGTTTTATTCGGTTGTTTTTTTTGGTTTTTTGTTTTTTTGGTACCTGGGATCAAACTCGGGACCTTGCACTTGCGAGGCAGGCGCTGGAACCACTGAACTAAAACAGCCCCTGCATGTTTTATTTGGGGCTGGTTTTCTTTTCTTTTTTGTACCGGGGATTGAACTCAGGACTTTGCGCTTGTGAAGCGGGCAGCAGCACCACTGAGGTACATCCTGGCCTCTCACTATTCTGTTAACAGTGCGGCTGTAGCTCAAGGAGAGCCCTTGTGTAACACAGAAGTCCTTGAGTCTGACTTCCAGACAGCAAAGGAAAAGTACATATTTTTAACCACTTCTTGGCCTTTTGGCTAACATCAAGTGTAGTATCTGTTCTTATCAGTTTAATACATATTTTTTTAGAAACAGGGTCTGGCTGTTGCCCAGGTTGGCCTCAAATTCCTAGGCACAATCAATCCTCCTGGCTCAGCCCTCCCAAGTTGCAGGGACTACAAGGGTGCACCAGCATGACCAGCATTAGTCTCCCTGCCTTCTGCAGGGAAAATATGAGGCATCATCAGCTTCTGCTTCCTGTGATGCCTTGGCAAAGGAGCTCCCCAGCCGCATCTTCTGCTCAGCTGTCTCCTTTCCTGGGAAGCACTTACAGTGCTGAGAGTAGACACACAGACCCGAAGAGGGAAAGACTGGACACTTAGGGTGTCTCATCTTTCCAGGTTCCACACACACAGCCAGGCCCATGTGTGAAGGAGGGGTTTCTGGGGAGTCCTGCAGCCCCACCTCTTCCCTCCACCCCACAGCAACCCTGCAGCCTGGAAGGTCGGCAGATGTTCGCTTGTCATCTCACTTGGAGGTCGGGAGGGCAGTGGAAAGCATCGGTCACTCACAGGACCACTGGCCAAGTGTCCTCCCCAAGCTCCTGCCAGAGGCCGAATTGTCCTCTCCGAGGTCCAGGGCACACTGAGGCCAGTGAGAACAGACACCCGGCAATCAACACAGTGCTCACTGCCGACCCTACCAACCAGGTGTCTTTCCACGTGGAAATCAGAGGTGACAGCAACAAAACCGAGGGCTGGAAAAACATGCCACAAGTGGCATCTGGCAGCACAGTCAGGTCTGCATCCTGACTTGACCTTAAACAGCTGGTGATTGAGCATAAATTAACTTGCATGTTCTTTTTTTGCGCATCTTGCATGTTCTTGAGTCTCAAATTTTCTCATCTAAAAACCAAAGGAGGAGCTGGGCGTGGTGGTGCACATTCGTAATCCCAGCACTCAGGATGAGGCAGGGATCACTGAGTCCAAGGCCAGCCTGGGCTAGATAGTGAGTTCAAGGCCAGTCTGGACTACACTGCAAGACCCTGTCTAAAAAAACCATGGAGCTTAGGGCCGGGGATTTAGCTCAGTGGTTTTGTCGCCTGTTGCGCAAGAGCAAGGACCTGAGTTCAATCCCTGGTACAACCCCCCCCCCCAAAAAAAACACGGGGCGGGGATAAGTACCCCATAACATGGAGGGTTAAATGAGGATTTATATGAAAATCACAATACAGCCCAGAACACAATTACAATAAGCTATAACTGTGTAAGATGCCCTAATTTGTTTTTTGTTTTTTTGGAACCGGAGAAACCACTGACCTAAATCCCCTGCCCAGATGCCCTAATTTGTATACCTTTCCTAATAAGACCTACATCACCTTCAGCCCGTCTCAAATTTTTCCTCATAAGTGATCAGACCCACCCTCCTACCCCACGACAGCTGTCAGATAAAAGAACAGGGAGATGATGATAACACAAAGGCTCCTGAAAGAAAGCAGACACCAGCTCACAGAGGTCATTTCATGGGAGCTTTATGTTCCAGCAAGTGGAGGAGTGGCTATGTTTCCAGAGGCTTCCCAGGGCTTTCGGCAGAGCTGACAGACCTGCTCTGCCTAGGTCCTGCTCATCTGTCTGGAGAGAGGAGGGCAGGAGGAACTTTCTGCCTGGCAGAACTTTCATTCTGTCACTAGCAGGAGTGATGAGCCGGGCACAGAGGAAGCTGAAGCAGGAAGATTGCTGTGAATTTAAGGCCAGCCTGGGATACCTAGTGAGTCTGAGGCCAGCCTGGACTACAGAGTGAGACTCTGCATCAAGGGGAGGGGCACTGGGTATGACGGCACACACCTATAATCCTAGCATTCAGGAGGCTAAGGCCGGAGGATTGCTGGGAGTTTGAGGCCAGCCCGGACTACACAGTGAGTTCAAGGCCAGCCTGAACTGCATAGCAACACCCTGTTGCAAAAAAAAGAAAAAAGGAGCGATGAGACACCTCCCACCTCTGTGCTGCCATCTAAGGCGAAGAAGGCAAAGAAGAGCAACCCTGGCAACAGCTCCTGCACCCAGAGATCAGTTTTTAGGGCCAAGTACAAATTCTTTTGGAGGCCCTCCCCCTCCACTGTTCTGTCTGTCTGTTGGGGAGGCAGGGTGGGGCTGCACCCCCAAAACAGAGCCAGCCTCTGGATCGGTTCTGCTGCGCTTGGCCAGGTCCTCATTGTGCGCCTTTCGGATGTGGCGGTAGAGGTCCCCTGACTGGGTGTAGCTGCGCAGGCAGTAGCGGCACTCATAGGGCCGCTCTCGAGTGTGCACCGTGGCGTGTCGCCGGAGTGTGTAGGAGCATGAGAAGGTCTTCCCACAGGTCTTGCAGGTAGGGACGTCCTCGGTAAAGACCCCAAAACTTCCTGGGGCTGCTTCAAAGTCAGAGGATGGATACAGTGACTCATGCAAGGCTGGGGGTGTGGGCAGGGGTGAGGTCACCAGTCCTCGAGGGTACTGCCCAGGACCTGGCAGTATGTGGTAGGGCAGGTGAGCATCAGGAGCAAGGAAGTGGTCACTTGGCCCCACCTCCTCCAGGCCTACGCCCCCAGGCTCCTCAAAAGCCTGGGGCTGGACAGGCTGGGGTGGGTGGGGGGGCTGGGGGGGCTGTCCAAACACAGCACCTGCAGGTGGGAACAGACTCTCAGGACCCTGAGGCTGCTCCTCAGTCACCTCCGTCTCCTCGTCAGAGATCACGATGGCTTCCACTTTCACCTGGACCAGCTCGGCTTCACCTGGAGCTGGGGCTGAAGCTGTGGGGTAGAAGCTTTGCAGTGGTCCTCCAGGGTCTGGGACCTCCACTACCCGAAGGCTCTCAGCACCCACCCCAAGGGGAGTCAGGGGCTCCACGGAAACCGTGGGGAGGCCAGAAGGGAAGTAGTTTGCAGGGAGGGCCTCTGTGGAGCTACTAGGGCTGGCCAGAGACACAGAGCGGTCTGCTCCTGGTGGGGGCGCTGCCCGCAGGTGCGATGACTCCACCTCCATGCCAGGCTGTGTGGTGTCGGCCCCACCAGGCACAGGTAGCTCCTCTGGAGGACAAACAGCAGGTAAGGGGGCGGTGGGGCTCTTCCATTCTTCCTTGCCCCACTGGCCTGATGTTTCAGCAGATGCCATTGAAGGCTGAGGACCATGGGAAGTGCTGGACAGAAACTCCAAGCCAGGGGGCTGTGTGCCTGCTTCCTCCTCCTTCTTGGTGCTGTCGGCCTCTGTCAGGGCCCGGGCCTGCAGCCTCTGCTTACACACCTTGACTATGTCATTCATGTGCAGGTAGCTGGCAGCGGCCAGCACATCCTCCAGGGGTGTGTCGCCCTGCAGGGCCAGCTGGCCAGCATACATGAAGTCCAGCAGCAGCCCGAAGGCCGGGGCCGTGACAATTTCGTTGTGAATACACACCAGATCCCTCTTGTCCAGTTCCCGCTCCTTGTAGAACAGCTGGAAGAACGGGCTACAGGAGGCCAGAACAGCCCGGTGGGCCAAGAACTGGGTGCTACCCACCATCACCGTGCAGTCACAGAGGAAGCCCTGGGACCGCTGCTCCCGGAGGCTCTGCAGCAGTTGTTGGCTGTGTTCTGGGAACTCCATAGCACCCCACGGAGGGAGGGCACCCCGGAAAGGTCCCCACCAGTGGCTCCTTGGGGAGAGGGCAGCGGGAAAGGGCAGGTGACTTCCTCAGCAACCTCAACGTCAGCCCCTGTGGCTCGCCCCGAAGGCGGCTGCCAACACCCCAGCCCGCCCGCCCGAGCGCTTGAAACAGCTACACTGCTGCCCCGCCCCCGCCACACCCAGTTTATTAGTCCCGCCCCCCGGAGCGAACCTTTGCCGCAGGCCCCGCCCCTCCAAGAATGCCCTGCCCCCGGAAGTCCCACCCCCTAACCAGTCTCGGTTTCCTCGATGGCCGCCCGGTAGCTTTCAGCGGCTCCTCCAACTAGGAGTCTCTTTCGCGCTTAGGCCCTCCAGGGTGATGCCTCCAAGCCTCGCTAGTACTCCTTGGGCCGCTGGCCTCTCTCCCTCCAAGGGCCCAGGGCTCCCGGGGTGGGAGCTAGAGCGGAAGCTGATCCCTCACCCACCACCGAACAGCCCTCGGGCGGGCTCCGCCTCTTCCCACCCTCTCAGCTGCGATTGGTGCGAGCTCGCTCTCCCTGTCACGGATTGGTCCGCTTCCCGCTATCAACGTCCCGCCAGGATCGCATCCCGAGTGGTTGCTCGTCGCCGTCGCTCAGACAGCTCGGGGGCTGAATTGGTTGGCACTCCTGTCGCGCATTTTCCCTTCTCCTCCCGCCTTCGTGGCCCCAGAGCTCCCGGGATTGGCCAAGTTTCTCCCTCTGCCTGAGGTCTCACCGGGAAGGATGACTGACTGACCACCAGCGAGGACCCAGGTCCTAGACCGGCCCACCCGCGCCTCTGCACCGCGGTCGCCTTCGGGAGGTCCCTCCTCAATAAGTCCACGGGCCACGCTGCCCGCTCGTGTACAATGGTTCCGACGCACAGTCGGGAGAACAGACGGCCTGGCACGTGCTGTGGGACGGGCGCGAGGTCAGGACTGGCAGTACCCGCATGGAGAAGAAGAGCTTGGCTGCTTTCGGAAACGCGTTGAGAGACCCAGGGCAGGCCGGTGGCCGGCTGGCTGTCCGTCGGGAGGCAGTCTGAAGCGGAGAGTGGTGGACACGTGTGTTCAGCCGAGTGCCCGCGCTTCACACTCGGACCCGGACGACATCCGCCCTGCACTCTGGAAAGAAAATAATCGCGCGCGCGCATGAGTGTGTGTTGTGGAGTGAATCCAGGGTCTTGCTCTTGTTAAGCACACTGTATCACTGAGCTACAAGTGCTGCAACCCCAACATTTTCACTTTTTATGAAGAATAAGTATATGTAGTCAAACCAAGAAATAGGCACGTGGGACATCTGTAATCCCATTTGTTTGGTAGGCTGAGATAAGGAAGTTTGAAACGAGCCTGGGCAACTTAGTGAGACTGTCTTAAAATAAAAATTAGAAAGGCCTGGCGATGTGCACTGGCTCAGTGGCAGAACACTTGGCTAGCATACACGAGGCCCTGGCTTCAATCCCCAGTACTGAAAAATAGAAATAGAAAGTACTGATTTCAGGTTTGTAACAGAACTGCTGTCATAAACTGTCTACACACTTTGAGGAGGAGATAAAAACACCTGCACTGCTCCTTGTCCTTTTGTCCAGGACTTCGTCCTGGCAGTAGAGTGTACAGCAGTGAGGAAGACAAGTTTGGAGCAGATCAGTATATGGGAGAAGGGAACAACCTCTACAAAAAAATTACCAAGCACTGAGACAGTAGAGTGAGCACACCGAAGAAACAGACATCCTGGGCTCATGGATTGGAAGAACCCATGTGGAATACCTGAAATCTGAGGGCATGAGTTCTTTGCCGGGTCTCAACCAGAACACATCACCATGGAGTCTGAGCAGGGCCTCGCGGGCGTAGCTACTTGAGAGGCCGCGTCCTTGTCCCTGGGGACCGGTCTCCCTGCAGGTGGGACAGCGCTGAGGAAGGTGAGCTCTGCCCTCACAGGAGGGCAAGTTGGGCCTCTGCTTGCCGCACAGAGACGCACAGCACTTGGGACAGGGCGCCTGCTCAAGGCCACATGGCGGCCCCAGTTCTAGAGACAGCTGTGCTTGGGCCATTCTCACAGGTCTGTGTCTCAGGATGTTTCTGTCTCTGAGTTAGGGACTCAGCCAGAGAAGAATTTCACTCAACCGTTTGAGCCAACGGAGGGGGGGTGTGTGATGAAGGGGCTGCGGGCAAAAGGGTGGGCGGGGAGGGGCGTGGTGGAGCAGGCCTGTAAGCCCAGCGCTCAGGGAGGCTGAGGCAGGAGGGTTTCGAAGGTGACTCTAACCTGGGTAATTTAGCGAGTTAATGACTGTCTCAAAATAAAAAGGGCTGGGGATGTAGCTCAGTGCGAAGGCCCTGGCTTCAAGGTTCAATCCCAAGTCACGCGCGCGCACACACAGAGGTGTGGGCAGAGTTGTGCCCAGCAAATGTGTAATGCTTATTGCGGCAAGCAGTCTGTGAATATTTGCTGCGTTTTGTCGTCTTTCTTTGATAATGAATCCTGCTTACAAGTAACGTACTGCCTGCTGGGTGTGCTCTAGGGGTGACTGCTGGTCCAGCACACACATCTCTAGATCCATTCCCAGCACCGCAGAAAAGGGGAAAAAGCAGGCGAGTTCCTGCCGCGCTACGGCTCCCTGCCACCGGTGCGGGTGAAGGGGCGGGGTTATCACGGGCACGCCCACAGAAGGGGTCAATCAGATTCGCGGGGCGGCCGGAAGCCGGTAGGGGCGGGGCAGGCACTTCCGGGGAGGCCTTGCGGGCCGCGGGTGTGGACGCTGGGGCCAGAGCTCAGCCGGAAGATGTTTTACCACGTGAGCTGGCGGGGGGCGGCTGGGGCCGGGCCGGGGGCCGCGTCTCGCCCGCGTCTCGCCCGCGTCTCGCCCGCGTCTCGCCCGCGTCTCGCCCGCGTCGGCCGGCTCCATGCGCCTCTCTCCTCAGATCTCCCTGGAGCACGAGATCCTGCTGCATCCGCGCTACTTTGGCCCCAACCTGCTCAACACGGTGAAGCAGAAGCTGTTCACCGAGGTGGAGGGGACCTGCACGGGGAAGTGAGCGCCGCCTGGGGCCCCAGCACCGCTCACTTCACTCTGCAAACATCCCGAGGCCCCGTGCGGCGAGAGCGAGCCAGCCCGTGGAGCTGGCAGTGTGCTGTCCCTCTTGTCACCTACCGGGTTCCTCTGTCCCTTGTGCCCAGGGCCTCTTTCCGGGTGAAGGAGTAGGAAAAGCAGATGCGAGTTTAGGGGAAAGAGCACGAGGGCTGGCGCCGACGACTCTGGGCTCTGTAGGGTGTCCCACTCGGGGCAGGAGGGAGCTGGAACTGCGTACGTGTGGGAGTGGGGAGTTTGGGGTTCTAGTGTCAGAACAGCTGGGAGAGGTGCCATCTATTTGGTTTGTTTTTTTTAAACCGTCTGGCTGAATAGCCTAGACTGGCCTGAAACTCACCATCCTGCCTCAGCCTCCCCAGTGGTGGGAATACGTCACCAGCTACATAGCAAGTTCAAGGCGAGCATGGACTACACAGTGGGATCCTGTTTCCAAAAACCCAAACAAAAAATCCGGTGTCCCCCCCCCCCCCCCCGCCCGCAGGTATGGTTTTGTCATTGCTGTCACCACCATCGACAACATTGGTGCTGGTGTGATCCAGCCAGGCCGGGGCTTTGTCCTCTACCCGGTTAAATACAAGGCCATTGTCTTCAGGCCCTTTAAAGGCGAGGTCGTGGATGCTGTGGTCACTCAGGTCAACAAGGTGTGCCATACGGGTGGGCGGGGCGGGGGTCTGTCAGGGATGTGGGCTGAGCCTGCACTTAGGAGTTCTGCCCCAGCCAAGTCCCTTCCTGAGCCTCAGTTTCCTCATCTTGCCATGAGTCACACGAGTCAGTGTTAATATGACAAGGGTGGGAGACCACAGGGATGAGAACAGTGACTGGAGAGGGAGTGTGAGCCCCTGTATGGGCTCAGCAACGCGTCCCGGCCCTGGTCCTCAGCCCAGCAGGGCCCCGGCTGTGCCCTTCCCAGTGGCACTGGATTTGCATAATTTAAAATTAAAACTAAAACAGAAATGTAAACAAATGCTGCAATTTAGACTGGATACAAACAGGACTGGTATGATTAGGAATTAAATAATCACACACTTAAAGGGCTTTTGGGGGACAGGCAGAAAAGTGCCATCACTCATTTTCCTCCAGGTTGGCCTCTTCACAGAAATTGGGCCCATGTCTTGCTTCATCTCTCGGCACGTGAGTGTTGGGGTGCCGGGGTGAGGGCACCCTCACCTCTAAGAGCCCCTGAAGCATCTGTGGGACCTGCTAACCCCAACTCGCTTCCTTCCAGTCCATCCCATCCGAGATGGAGTTTGATCCCAATTCCAACCCGCCCTGCTACAAGACAATGGATGAGGTGAGTGGGAAGGGGGGTCAGAGGGAGAAGGAGGTGCCCGCGCTGCTGGGGGGAGCGTGGCCTGTGGCTGTTACACGGGCCACACTCTGCTCTCCCCAGGACATTGTCATTCAGCAGGACGATGAGATCCGCCTGAAGATTGTGGGGACCCGCGTGGACAAGAACGACATTGTGAGTCTCGCTGTCCTCCCCTACCTTCACCTGTTCCTGGCAGTGCCAAGAGCAGTTCCCAGGGCTCTGTGCTCTGCTGTCCCAAAGGCCGGGGTTGGGGTGGAGAAGGTGCTGAGCCCTCCTTGCTGAGTGTCACCTTGGCCTTTCCTCCTGCAGTTTGCGATTGGCTCCCTGATGGATGATTACCTGGGTGAGTGCCTCCTGGTGCTGTTCCCTGCAGCCAAGGGCTCCGAGGCCTGGGAAGGGTGAGGCTGTGGCTGCCTGAGCCCTGGGTCTGACTCCTTTGTGTCTCTTTCTTCTGTTCACAGGGCTTGTAAGCTGAGCACGGCCTCCTGCCTGCTGCATCCCAGCTTGGGAAGTCTGTGGGTCCGTGTGCTGTGGCTTGTGTCCAGCTACTGTTGGGGAAGAAGGTTCCTTTTGCTCAGGAGATGCCTGCCGCTGTGCTCCTTCCTGCTCCACTGCTGCTGGAAGATGTCTGTATTCTAACCATAAAAGGCCCTTGATTCTTATGGTGCGCTATCTTCTTTTGTGGTAGGAACAGTTACTTTTTAGAAAGGCTGCAGGGCTAACTGACCCCAGCCCCTTTTTCCTTTGGCCTGAGGCCTGGACCATCCTCAGCCACTTTGGGGATTTGATGAACTTTTGCCCAGGTGTAAAGATAAAAGTTGCCTGCAATGAAGGCGAACTCTGAGACTGAAATCCTGGCTTCCAGTAGATGACACCGTCATCAGCTGTTCTGAGTCCGAAGCTAGTTGCGTGATTCTTGTCCTTGAGCTGCCCTTAGCCATCACCAAGGTTAGGAGTGAGACATAGGAGGGGATACTCAGGATAGGGAAAGACTGACAGGAGGGCCCCTTCTTTGCTGGGTTCGTGAACACCAGCAGCCTTGCCTTGCATTGAAGTGAAGATGGGAAAGCACTGTGGTCAGCTAAGATGACAGTAGAAACACCTGAAAGGTCTGCAGGCCCCGACAGGGCCAGGTTGTGGCCTGGTGGCAGAGCTCTTCTGGGTTTGCCTGCTGCCGGCCACATGTGCAGGTCAGGCAGTTTCCCTCACGCTGCTCTTCCACGTTTCTGTTTGTCCCTCCTGCGGTGCACTTGTCCTGCTGCCCATTTACTACCTGTGAGTCTGGGTGCAGTGGCGGCCCCAGCTTCCCTGTTTCTTCGGGAAGAGAACTGTGTGCTGGGAGGGGTGGGGCTTGAACGGGTAACTGCTGGTGTCAGCCAAGTGGAAACCACAATGGCAAACCACGTTTGGTGTTCTATGGAGATGAGATGTTCACATGGCCAGGACAGACCACCCTGAGGCCTGAGGCAGGGACAGGAGGAGTGGCACCGAGGCCTTGGGACCAGGGGCGTGGTGGGGCTGCCCCGGCCTCCTGTCACCCAGGGCTCAGTCTTGCATCTCCCTGGGAAGATGGACGCCAGTGGAGACGGCTTGTGTTGCTGGCTGTCTCGGTGCCTTCTGCTGCTGCTGTCACCTGCAGGGTCTGTGGGGAGAGGTCCGAGAACCCCGATGAGCTGAAACGTCTGAACGAGGCCGGAACCTGGTAGAAGGCAGGTGATTCAACCCCATCTGGGCGACTCGAGGAATCGGTGAGATCCTGTCTCCAACAGACACGAAGAGGGGTTGGGTGCAAGTGGGGTGGGGGGAGCGGGCTGTGCATGAGTGTGGGTCTCTGCCACCACCCACCCGACAGGGCCGAGCAGGCCCTTCCCTCGGCACATCCCAGCTCATGCTGCTACTCTGCATCTGCTGCTCATCATCGGGTGCTGTCTCAGTGGAAATGGTCCTGAGAGAACCGTAGGCTCAGGAGCACTGCTTTCATATTTGTGTGCCAGGCGTCTGTCTTCCTTGTTTTTCTGCAGTGCTGGGGCCTGAATCTAGAGCCAGCCCCCTCGCCCCCCCATGCCAGGCAGGCCATCTTCCATCCTTCCTGGAATTGACACAAGGTCTCACTAGAGCCTTGAACTTGGAATCCTGTCTCAGTTTCAGGAGTAGCTGGGAATACCCTCTGCACCACCCTGCCAGATTTGTGTTACATGTTTCACATTTGGTGAATCTGGAAAGTTTGTTGACTCCTTGAAGTTTCTGGGCTTTGTTGCAGTTGTAAAGCCCTCCCTAAGAGGAAAACTCCCCAGGCGGAGAGTGGAAGTGCTCCCTGGAAGGTTGTGTAGGGATCAACAGCAACAGCAGGCAGGAGGAAAGAGGCTGGCAGGTGTGGGCGCAGGGCGCAGAGTGCAGCGCTGACTCTGCAGTGTCATGGGAGCAAGTCCAGATGGCCTGGCGATGTCCCCAGAACGCGTCTGGTTTGTTTTTCAAAGTACTGGGAATTGAACCTAGAGCCTTTGCACTGAGCTACATCCCCAGGTCTTTTTCTTTTTCTTATGCTTTTTTTTTTTTTTTTTGGTACCGGGGATCGAACTCAGGACCTTGTGCTTGAGAGGCAGGCGCTGGAACCACTGAGCTAAATCCCCAGCCCCTTTTTCTTTTGCTTGCATTGGCAAGATTTATTTTTTAAATAAATTTTATTTTACCCTATTACCCCCTCCCCTTCCTATGTACAGAAGCTTTGTTTCCAGTTTTTCCTTCTATTTGCACTTTTTTCTTGTCCCTTTCTCCCTCTTCCTCCCTAGTTCCCCTTACCATTTGAACACTTTCTTCCCATTTCCCAGTATCCATTATATATTTCAGTCCTTATTTCCACTTTCATTTTCTCAAACCAGAGGAACAATGTATGTAAACACGTGTCCGATTTATTTCATTTAAGAGTATGGTCTCGGCCTGGGTATTTAGCTCAGTGACACCTCCCTGACTTGAAAGCACAAGGTCCTGAGTTCGATCCCTGCTACAAAAAAAAAGGTATGGTCTTAAGGTGCATCCATTTAGCTAGAAATGGCTCAAGCTCATCCTTTATAGTAGAATAGTACTCCATTGTATAAAAACCCACATCTTTATCCACTAGTCAGGTGATGGGCATTTAGGCTGTTTCCAAGATTTGGCTATTATAAACTGCTGGTATGAGCATGGGTGTGCATCTATCACTGTGGTATGATGCTTTTAAATCTTCAAGAGGATACCAAGGAGAGGTTATAGCTGGTCAAATGGAACCTCTAGTTTTAGTTTTTTGAGAAATCTCCACACTGATTTCCACAGTGGTTGCACCAGTCTACACTCCCACCAGCAGTGGAGCAGGGTTCCTCTTTGCCCACAGCCCCACCAGCATTTGTTATTGGTTGATTTCCTGATAGCAGCCATTCTTTCTGGAGTGAGGTGGAATCTCAGCGTTGTTTAATTTGCATTTTGTGAATGACCAGTGATGTTGAACATTTTTTCACATATTTATTTGCCGTTTCTAATTCTTCATTTAAGTGTTTTTATTTCAGATGCCCACTTTTGGATTGGGTCTTTAAATTTTTCCAGTCCTTTTCTTTTTGGTACCGGGGATCCAACTCGGGTCCTTGCGCTTGCGCAGCAGGCGGCGAATTTCTTTTTCTTTTGAGACAAGGTTCTTGAATTGCCAGGGCTGAGCTTGGATCTGTGACCCTCCTGTTCAGGGGTCCGGAATCCCGGGGTGACAGGCCTGTGCCTGGCTTGAAAAGGTAAAGAGATCACAGGTGTCAGCACAGTGCTGCACGCCTGTGATTCCAACAATTTTGAGTCCCATGTGGACAATTTACGGAGATCTTGTCTCAAAAACTAAAAAACAAAAAGGGCTGGGGATGCAGCTTAAGGCAAAGGATCCACCCCGGGACGGCAGGGAAGCGCCCTGCCATGCTGTGCTCCTCCTGCTTCCTGGGGAAGAACCTGCCCAGAGGGAGCTGAACCGTTAGCTCTGGCTCCGCCCTGGGGCCACTCCTGACGGGCCGTTTCCCACTCAATACCTTCTGCGCCTCTCCCACTCCGCCAGGCAGTGAGCGCGGGGCAGGCTTTTGCTACCCACACCTGACTGCCCCAGGCCAGGCCCGACGCAGCGTCCACTCTTGCTGCCCAGCCTACCTGTGGCTGTGCAGATGACAAACCTCAGCCAGGAGAGCCATGGATTATTGACAGCCCAGTCTCTCCCCTCCCTAGGGGTCGGGGGCGCCTTGCTGTCTGAATGTGCCAGGAAAGGGCTCCGCAATCACCTCAGTCACTTCTGTGCATCCGGCTTCTGCAGCCCACGGCAGTTCCTCTGTCCCGGGCAGCAGCGTGAGCCCTGAGCAGAGGAGGAGGCTGCGTACCTCACACCTCAGGAGTTAAACAAAAATAAAGGGTTGGAGCCAGGCGTGGTGGCACACGCCCGTAATCCCAGCATTGGGGAGGCTGAGGCAGGAGGATCGCAATGAGTTAAAGGTCTTAACTACATAGTGCGTTCAAGAACAGCCTGAACTATATAGACACTCTCAAAACACAAAACAAGGAACCAGGCAATTTAGCTCGGTGGCACTGCGCCGACCTAGCACGTGCAAGGTCCCGAGTTGGATCCCCAGTACCGAAAAAGAAAAAAAGAATCAAGATGTTTGTACACGGACCAACTCCCCAGGAGGATGCCAATCACTGCTCCAAACATAGACCCTAAAAATGCTGGAGCTTTTTTTTCTTTCTTTTTTCTGGTAAAGCTATTGCTTTAAGAAGCGCAAACTAGGGGCCGGGGATGTATTTCAGCGTCACAGCAGCTGCCTGACAAGCGTGAGATCCTGAGTTCTATCCCCGGTGAAAAAAAAAAAAAAAGAGAGAGAGACGTGAACCACGTGACCAGGCGTCCAAGGGCGTTACAGCGAGAGCACACTGGCCAATCGCTGGACGGGAGCCTCCCGGGGGGCGGGAGCCGCGCGAGGCGGCTGCCGATTGGTTGTGCTGGGCAGGGGCGGGACCGGGAGCGGGAGGGAACCTGGGCTCGCAGAGCGAGGAGGCCGCGGCGGGGCGGGGTCCCGCGGTCGCGTCGGGTCGGGTAGTACCAGTCGGTGCAGCCGCTCCAGGTGCACCCTTCTCAGCCTACGCCCCAGGTGGGAGCCCTCGCCCCCCTCGGAGCCCTCGTGGGCCGGCCAGGCTGGCCCGTTCCGCTGCGCCCGCCCGGCGACCACGTGGCCCAGGTCGTGACCCCTCACCTCCCACCCTTGACCTCGCGCCCCTGCTCCGGGTCTCGGGGCTGTTTAGGGCTGCGATCGCGCCCCGCTCGCTCTCCGCGAGGCTAACCAGGTGCTCTCCTGCGTGGACGGGGAAACTGAGGCCGGGACCGTTGCTGTACGCGCGATCAGACTGCGTGCCCCGCGCCGGGGGCCCGCCCCGCTCTTCCGCCCCTCCCCGGATGCGCTGACCCGGGCGGGACGTAGGACTCGCAGGTGAGCGCGGACGCGCGTCGCGGCCCGGTGGCCGGTGTGTCACAGTTACGCGGGGTGTGATTGCAAACTGGCGCGCCCGCGTGGAAGGTCTAGTGCAGGGCCACTGGCGACCCGGGAAGGCCTCTGGATCTGAGGGAGCGAGCAGCTCGCCACACAGCCTGCAGTGACGGCCCTCCGGCCGGGCACAGCGGAAGCAGGAGGCGCAAAGTCCTGAAAGGCTGCTGAGAAGAGCAGCGAGGAAGGGGAGGTGGCGGTGTTGCCTTAGGCCGGGGGCCTGGGCGTGTGTCCCGAGGGCAGTGCGCTCAGGGGATCCGGAGACCGCAGCAGTGAGCTCGGCGGAGGAGGGCCACCCAGGCCTGGGTCGCCGTGGCCCCGGAGCCTGTCCTCCGTCCAATCCTCAGCCGCTTTGGACTCTTACCCTACGAGGTCCTGTGAAAGGAACGGGTTTAGCACTCAGGCCTTGCCGCCAAACTGGGAGGACCAGACTTGGACAAAGCCCAGTCTTCGAAAGCCGGCAGCTCCAGATGGCACAGAGCACAGGGCTCCTAGGGACTGGCTTGCCTCAGCACACCTGGCAGGTCTCTGGGATTGAGACCGGACGCAGAGTGCCAAGCCAGCGAGTTTGGACTTGGTTGTCATAAGCAGTGGGGAAGTAGTGAAGTTCTTTCTTTGGTACCGGGGATCAAACTCATGATCTTGTGCTTGCGAGGTAGGCACAGTGCCACTGAGCTAATTCCCTGGCCCAGTATTGAAGATTTTTGAGCAAGTCTGTCAGGAGAAAAGTAACTTTTCAGCCAGGCATGGTGGCCCATCCATGTCATCTCTGGGGACTGAGACAGGAGGATTGCCACTGTGAGCCCAGTCTACTTAAGCAGACTCTGTCTCAAATTGAAAATACAAAAAATGGCTGGTGGCCAGGGATTTAGCTCAGTAGCCTCGCACCTGCCTCGAAAGAACAAGGTCCTGTGTCTGATCCCCAGTTATCATTAAAAAAAATTGTATATATATGGGTTTTTTTCCTTTGATACCGGTGATCAAACTCAGGACCCTGAGCTTGAAAAATATTTTTTGAAATGAAAATTTAGTTGGTGGTAGTTATAGTACGAATTAGAAGGACGAAGGTATATAGTGCTTTTGTTTGTTGCTTTGTTTTTGTGGTACTGGGAATTGAACCCAAGACCTGACAATATACTAGGCAAGTGCTACCTCCACAGCTCTTTTTTGGTTTTGGTACCAGGCAGTGAACTCAGGACCTTGTGCTTGCCAGGCACATGCTGTGCCGCTGAGCTGAATTCCTTTGTTATTTGTTTTGTTTTTTGTTATGGGGATCAAACTTGGAACCTTGTGCTTTTGAGGCAGGCGGAGGCGGCGGCACCACTGAGCTAAATCCCCAGCAATGGTCTTGGTAAGTTGCCCATACTGGCTTAGAACTTGTGATCCTTCTGCCTCAGCCTCATGGGTAGCTAGGACTACAGGCATGTGCCACCAAGCCTGTCTTAGGGTGGTGAGGATTCCCACTGGTGTAGTGTTCTTTTTTCCAGTGGTGCTGGGTTGAAGCCAGGGCTTCAGTGGGTCTAAGGGAATGGACTGCCACTGAGCCCCACACAGGCTCGAGTCCTAGTCTCTGGCTTCTGCAGATAGCTCTCTGCCCATCCTCCAGGCAGCTGTGAATTAGGACAGGGGTCATCGCCCCTGTTCCACAGCCTAACACAGCAGGGCTCAGGACTCAAAGGTCTTGGCCAGCTTCGTAGTGGGCCCCTGTTCTGTGCCTGTCACGGCCGGCCACTTTCTCTGCTTCCTCACTGTCTGCTCTTTGGCTGGCCTGGTCCTTCCCTCACTGGGGAACCCTGGGGTCCCTGCTCGGGAATTGCAGTGCAAGGGCAGCAGCAGTACTGAATGATAGGGTGTTGATCTGCTGTCTTGGCCTCCCAGGTACCCTGAGCAGCTGTGCCAACCATGTTTCCTCCCAGCTCCCCCAGGGCCATGTCAGAGCGCGAAGAGCGGCGGTTTGTGGAGATCCCACGGGAGTCAGTGAGGCTCATGGCTGAGAGCACAGGGTTGGAGCTGAGCGATGAGGTGGCAGCGCTGCTGGCCGAGGATGTGTGCTACCGGCTCCGAGAGGCCACTCAGGTGAGCTCCTGGTCCCACCTTGCACACTTCCCCCCTTGATGCCCACATTGTGACCATGCCTGGCCGGGCACAGACTGGGGACCCTAGGGGCTCTGTGCCATGCTCCTGTGACAGTCCTGTGGGCTGGCAAGGGACGGGTGTCCCCTCCTGCTGTGAGAAACTGCGGCACATAGGGACCATGAGCGGGCGCCCAGGCCTCCTTGCTGTCTTGCGCCCTTGCTTAGGGACCCCTGCCCCCCCTCCCCCAGAACAGCTCCCAGTTCATGAAGCACACCAAGCGGCGGAAGCTGACCGTGGAGGACTTCAACAGGGCCCTGCGCTGGAGCAGTGTGGAGGTGAGGGACACAAGGCCACACACAGCAGCATCAGCCAGGTGCTAGCTGGGAACACAGGACTGAGCTAATTCCCTGGCCCAGGGAAGGTTTCTTGGAAGAGGTGGACTTGACGTGGGCCTTCCAGACCCTGAGCCAGCCTCCTCGAGTGGCCAAGGAAATGTGGGCCTCCTGGGTGAGGGAGGAAGTGAGGGACTCAGCTGTTATCAAGAGCGTGGTGTTTTTGCCCTTGGGTAGCAGGGCAGGCAGCTTGGCAGCTGGGTGAGTGGGGCTGGGTCTCCTTCTCACCCCAGCCCCAGCCCCAGCCCCCAGGCAAAACCTGTGGTGTCCCACCATTGCTTTCCTCAGGCCGTGTGTGGCTATGGCTCCCAGGAGGCCCTGCCCCTGCGCCCCGCCAGGGAGGGTGAGCTCTACTTCCCTGAGGACAGAGAGGTGAACCTGGTGGAGCTGGCCCTGGCCACCAACCTCCCCAAGGGCTGCGCGGAGACGGCTGTCAGAGGTGGCTCCTGGGTCTGAGTGCGGTGCAGGGCTGGCTGGGGCCTGGGCGGGGTTCACAGGGCAGAGCCCAGGCTGACAGTTTCTGCTCGATTCCAGTCCACGTCTCCTACCTGGATGGCAAAGGCAACCTGGCGCCCCAGGGCTCAGGTGAGGGTGGGAAGGGGCCCCGGCGGGCGTGGCTGGGGCCTGGGTGTCCTGCGGGGCAGTGGACAGGCCAGTGGGGATGCAGGGGCGCACGGTCTCACCTCTGCCCTCGCTCCCGCCTGCCCGTCTGTGTGGTGTGGCTTTGCGGACTGGGCCCCCACTGCCTGGCTCTCCTGCTGCAGTGCCCAGCGCAGTGTCTTCATTGACCGATGACCTGCTCAAGTACTATCAGCAAGTGACTCGGGCTGTGCTTGGGGATGACCCACAGCTGATGAAGGTGAGTTAGGGGTCCAGGCTGACTTTTTTTTGTGGTATCGGGGATTGAACTTGGGACCTTACGCTTCCGAGGCAGGCGTGGTGCCACTGAGCTAAATCCCTAACCCTGTATTTATTTATTGACAGGGTCTTTCTGTGTAATTCAAGCTGGTCTTGAACTCACTATGTAGCCCAGGCTGGCCTCAAACTTGCCACTTGAGGATCACTTGAGGCAAGTGATCCTCCTGCCTCAGCCTTCCGAGTACTGGAATTACAGGCATGTGCCACCACACCTGCTTTTATTGTGTTGAGACAAGGTCTTGCCATATAGTCCAGGCTGGCCTAAAATTTGCAATTCTCCTGCCTCAGCCTCCCAAGTGCTATGATTTTGTGTGTACCGCCATACCGTGTTTCAAACCTTTAGATCTTCACAAGATCCTTTTAGTTGCCACTTTCTGGTCCTCTCCAGACTGGCTGGTGAGGGGAGCAGCTGTTCTCAGAGTGGGCTTGTGGCTGTAAGCTGGCCCTGCTGCCTGCCCTGACCCCTTTGTGCTCCAGCAGAGTGGGGACTCAGCTTTTCTCTGGACCCTTCTCTGGCAAGTTTGCTGATCCCAGCCCAGGGGCCACACACTGCAGCCTTCATTTCCTAGGCTTGAGCAGGAAAGGACCAGAGGAAGCAGGGATATAGTGGGCGCTGGCCTAGGCAAGATCTGCAGCTCCAAGTCCAGGGGCCTCTCAGCCCTGCGCCAGCCTCTGGGCGTGATCCGTCCTCTCCAGCTGGCCTCGCTCACCCTGCCTGATGGGAATGGTTTGCTCCGTGTGGCTGGGTTGGAGCCAGGGCCTTCCACCCCACCTGCCAGGCAAGCGCTCTCTGTAGGACAGCTCCATTTTCCAGCTGTTGCTGTTGCTTCCCTTGCAGAACCAGGAGCACTGCCACCTCCTCCTGCCTGCAAAGCGGGCTTCTGGTGGGGATGTGGCTGGGCGGTGCAGCGCTGGCCCCAGAGCTCTGGATTTGAGTCCCAGCTCTGTGAGGAAAGCAAGGCAGCTTGGCTTCTGCCCTGGAGGCAGTGCCAGGGCTGCCTGTGGACCTGGGCCGAGCGCCTTCCTCGCTCTGCCTCCATGGCTGCCACCTTCATCCAGGGGTACAGGGAGGCCCAGCTGGGGGAGACCCAGTGAGATGCTTCCACTTTAATATGTTCTTTGCCTTGAAAAGTAGTATCAGTGAATGCCTACTGGAGGAGGACATGAGTATAAAAACACTCAGCAGAAGGCTTTCAGCTCTTTCACATTTGTACTTTTCCTTGTGTATTAACTCTGGTTCTTTCAGTGTAAACCTGTGAGTAAACACCTGGTTTTCAGAACTTGCTTTTATGGGGAGAGGATTTGGGGATTGAGCTCAGGGTATCCACATTGATCTAGGTCCCCAGCCCTTTTTTATTTTTTGTTTTGAGACCAGAGTGGGCTTGAACTTGTGAATTTCCTGCCTCAGCCTCCAGAGTGCTGGGATTACAACAAGTGTGTGCCACTGTGTCTGGCTTACGATTTACTTTGCTTAGCTTAAAATACGTAGGAGATTCAGGTTATGTGCAGAAGGTGCTATGTGTGGTTGCACGTGTGAGGGGTTTTTCTAAGTTATGTGGCTAGAAGCAGAACTGGAGGACCAGTGTTTCCTGCGAGGCACAGGAATGTGATGCTAACTTGAGTTCCAGAACGGTGGTAGTTTACCCGTGGGGCTGTGGTTCCAGTGCATTCTGGGCCCTTCCTTGCAGGTTGCTCTCCAGGACCTGCAGACGAACTCCAAGATTGCAGCTCTGTTGCCTTACTTTGTCTACGTGGTCAGTGGGGTAAGTGAGCGACAGGGAGAGGGAGGAAGCCCAGCAGCCTACAGGGCTCACACAGGTGCTATCGAGCGCCAGGCTCCCTCCCACCCCTCAGCCGCCCTTCTGCCCACAGGTGAAATCTGTAAGCCATGACCTGGAGCAGCTGCACCGGCTGCTGCAGGTGGCCCGGAGCCTCGTTCGGAACCCACACCTCTGCCTGGGGCCCTACGTCCGCTCCCTGGTAGGCAGTGTCCTCTACTGCGTCCTGGAGCCCCTGGCTGCCTCCATCAACCCCCTCAATGACCACTGGACCCTGCGGGATGGGGCTGCTCTCCTCCTCAGCCACATCTTCTGGTAGCACTGGACTTGGGGACTGCTGTGGCTGGGGCATCGAGTGGGGAGGTGGGGTGTAGTTACACTGAGAAGACTGGGTGCTCCTCAGAGCCACCGTGCTGGGTCAGAGATGTGCCAAGGCATTGTCCCAGGCCTGTCTCCCCTGGGGCAGCCTTGCACTCACTCCATGTGCCTGTGTCTCTTGGTGCTGTGTCCTGAGCTCGAGCAGCAGTGTCACCTCCTTCCCACTCTGTGTGCGACTCCTACAGGACTCATGGGGACCTCGTCAGTGGCCTCTATCAGCAGATCCTGCTGTCCCTGCAGAAGGTGTTGGCAGACCCCGTGCGGCCTCTTTGCTCTCACTATGGTGCTGTGGTGGGGCTGCATGCACTTGGGTGGAAGGTGAGGACTCAGCCTTTCCAGCTGTGCTAGACAAATGCTAAGGGAAGCTGGGTGTGGTGGCACACACCTGTGGTCCTAGCACTCAGGAGGCTGAGGCAAGAGGATTGCTGAGTTTGAGGCCAGCTTGGGCTACATAGTGAGTTCAGGGCCAGATAGTGAGACCCTGTCTCAAAAAACCAAAAGAAAAAAAGAATGCTAATTGAGTGCTTTACCATTAATGTGGAGTACGTTTACTGCTGCCCAGCATAGAGTTTGCCGTGGGCCAGGCTTAGTGATACAGTATCCTCCTGTGAGGTCACAGTTTAGAGTTTGGGACCTGAGTTATTCTCAGATTTGTCCTTAGAACCTAATTGTTCACCGAATCCTGGTAATTTTATGGAAACTGCAAATTATTTTGGTGAGAAGTTTGCAAGTAGCTAATTCCAGAGCGTTATTCAGTTCTCCTTGCTGATTGGCTGCTGTCTCTGCCATCTCTGGCAGATGCACCAGCGTTCTTGCATCATAATAGGGTGCTGTACTATGCATAGCTATCTTGGATGTTCTCACTTTTGTTCTTCTTAAAGTTAAGATCCCTAAGATGCCTCCAAAATGCTCTACACCTTCTAAGGCTTTATTAACAGTATTTTATTTAAATTACTAGCCAGGCGTGGTGGCACATGCCTGTGTTCCCATCACTTGGCAGGCTGAGGCAGCAGGATTGGCACAGGTTCGAGGCCAGCCTGGGCTACATAGTGAGTTTAAGGCTAGCCTCAACTACGTATTAAGACCCTGCCTCAAAAAACAAAAACAAAACAAAAAATTTACACAGCTAAGGCAGACATAGCATATTTAGGTTTTAAACCATAAAAATAGGCATTTTTGTGACCATATCTGAAATTCATGGTTTTTCACAACTCAGGGGTGTTGTAGGAATGTAAAGCCCATGAATTTTAGGGAGCCACTGTTCTTGATTTTCTATGTGGATGTTTTATCCCTCCAGAAGTCCTGCATGTAGATGCAGTGCCCCCCACTTCATAAACTGTTGTGCAGTCCATGTTATTACATTAGGAAATAACTCTCAGGTCCTGTGGTATTTAGTCATTAGATTTTTGCCAAATAGTTTTTTTGTAGCTATAGATATTATCAAACAATTACATATGTACCTTACTTTTGTTAACATGACAGGTATGTCAATGGGGTTTTCTGCTGAGCCACATTTGCATACTATAGTAGTTCTCTTTGTTGCAGCTGAGATTTTTATTGGAATTTCTTTCACTGTTTTGGAAAAAAGTTTTCATGAAGTCTGTGAACATGAACAGATCATGTATATTTTATTTTTTAAGAGTTCCCAGTCTTAGGATGCTTTCATTGTTCCCGAGGACCTACTAGAGTTAATAATATTGTTTGTGGTGCTGGTGTTCCATCTCAGGGCTTCAGTGGTGCTGAGCAGCTGCTCTACCACTGAGGCACACCTCTGCTTCCTTTTATTACTTTACTCCTAGATACTTGCTATCCTTTGATGGAGCTGTAATGACATCTTTATGGTGTTAGTATACTGTTGATAAAGAAATAGTTGATTTTTGTGTTACTGATCCAGCCACTTTTCTAAACAGTGTAAATTCTTTTGAGGTTTTAAAGGAAATGATCATAACATATGCAAGCTGACCATATCATTTAATTGTAATGCTCTTATTGCCACAATCAGTAATGTCGTTTTACATTAATAGTGGATATCCACTTTTCTTTTCCTTTTTTTATGTTTTCTGAGACAAGAGTTTCTAGTTCAGGCTGGCCTCAAACTCTTGGAGACCCTCCTGCCTGTCTCCTGAGTGCTGGTATTACAGGTGTGTACCACCACCTTAAAAGTGCTAGGGCTACACATGTAGCTCAGTGGGAGTGCACCCATGCCTAGCATGTGTGAGTGATCCCAGCATTGCTTTAAAAAAGAGCCAGCCATGGTGGTGCACACTCAGAATCTCAGATACTGAGGTTGAGGCAGGAGGATCACAGGTTTGAGCCAGCCTAAATATAGTGACTTAGCGAGACCCTCTCAAAATAAAAAAGGGGCTGGGGACATAGCTCATTTAAAAAAAGAAACACAAAGGTCTTCAGCGGCGAGGGGAGCAAGCAGAGCAGGGCACTCAATGCTCTATCCCGCGTAGGCTGTGGAGCGCGTCCTGTACCCGCATCTGTCCACCTACTGGACCAACCTGCAGGCCGTGCTGGACGACTACTCGGTATCCAATGCGCAGGTCAAGGCTGATGGGCACAAGGTGTACGGCGCCATCCTGGTAAGTACCCCCCCCCCCCCCCCCCCCGTGCTCGAGCCCACCCACCCAGCCTCGCCCTCCCCCGCAGGTGGCCGTCGAGCGCCTGCTGAAGATGAAGGCGCGGGGCGGCGGCCGGCACCCCGAGGACCCGCCGTGGGGCGGCCTCCTGCTGCCCGAGCCCCCGGCCGAACCCGGCTTCGCGCCCGCGCCGCCGCCGCCGGCTGCTGGCCCCGCGCCTGCCGCGCCGCCCGCCACGCTGGCCGGCATTTACCGCGAGCTGTACGCCTTCTTCGGCGACAGCCTGGCCACACGCTTCGGCACCGGCCAGCCCGCACCCGCCGCCCCGCGCCCCCCCGGAGATAAGAAGGAGCCGGCGGCCGCCGCGGACGCGGTGCGCAAGATGCCGCAGCTCACAGCCAGCGCTAAGCTGAGCCCGCCGGGCGACGAGAGCCCCCGGGGCGGCCCCCCGGCTGCCCCGGCAACTTCCGCCGCCGAAAGCCGGCCGCTGCCGCGTGTGCACCGGGCCCGGGGAACGCCCCGGCCGCAGGGCTCCGGTGCCGGCGCCCGGGACATCTTTCAGAAGAGCCGCTTCGCGCCGCGCGGGGCCCCGCACTTCCGCTTCATCATCGCGGGGCGCCAGGCTGGGCGGCGTTGCCGCGGCCGCCTCTTCCAAACCACCTTTCCCGCCCCGCACGGGCCAAGCCCGGCCTCGCGTTACGTCCAGAAGCTGCCCATGATCGGCCGTACCAGCCGCCCGGCGCACCGCTGGGCCCTCTCGGACTACTCTCTGTACCTACCGCTCTAAGGAGACGAGCTACCCGGGGCGCCCCGGAAGTGACGCGTCCACACCACTCCGGAAGTGTGGCCGGTTTTCCCGTGGCGCTGTCCAGTCTGCAGCGTGTGGAGCTTGTGCTACTAGTTGCCGCCTTCTTGTGCGGGGCCCTGGCGGCTGCGGCGCTAATCTGGACCCAGGTGCGGCTGTAGAGAGGGCGCATCATGAAGATGGGGCGGGCAGGCCCCTCCCTGCAGTGGTGCAGGGACGGAGACAAGACCTGGGGAGCACCCTGTGCACAGTCATTTCAATCGGGAATCACTTGGGCTTTGGCGAGAGAAAGCGCAGCGCAGGGGAGATGCTCGAGCCACAGAACGTGATTACAAGTGTGTTTAATGACAAAACATTGATGCAGAAGACAGTTGGGCAAACAGTGCTTCCTTCTAGGCAATTTTGTCAATAAAGATGGGTGTATTCATCACAAAGTAGGCATCAGTATGTTCACAGATTTATAGCTCTGAAGACACTGGAGGTAATTTAAGATTACTTGTTGTTTGGTATACCTCAGGACTTCTGCAGAACTGAGATCATGACTTGTCAGGCTCCTCTGAAGGGCCTTGCATTCTATAGCCACTGCCTATTTACTGATCGGCCACTGCAGGTTTCATTTCCTAAGAAGGCCCCTCAGCCTTCCAGCCCCAGAATCCCGAACTTAAATACACTCCCCTAACTTACAGCAGGGCTGACCTAACACTTGCCAGGAACTTATATCCCAAGGCAGTAACCTGAAACCTAGGACTCAGCAGCTTCTCTCCACAGGGCTCCTTCAGGTGCAGCTGTCCCTTGTATGGTGTAGCCCCCTGAATCATTCTTCCCTGGCCTTATCCCGGCCCTCTGTCCCATCACTCTGCTACTTTGACTGGGGCATCTGCCTTCTGGCCCCCTACTACCTCTTGCTTTTGCTCTTCTGGGTCTGCTGCAGCAGCATGAAGGATTCCTACCAGTGAACTGGCCCACCCTAAAGACCAGAGGCCAAGTTGGGATGAGGTCCATTTTAACAAGTTTGTTCTCCCTCTCCCAGAGGTCCTATAGGGCTCTGCATTGCACTGGTTATCTCAGCAACACCCATCTTCTTGGTCTTATTATCTGCCTGTATCCTTCGATATGGTACCAGTTCTCTCTGGAATTCCACCATCTCCTTGAACCGAACCATTAGGTAATGGGAGAGGGAAGGACACTGGTGCTGCCTTCCCTTTGCAGTGGCTCCTAGAACCTCCCATTTTATCCCCACCTACTGTCCTTGTCTCAAAGGACACCTGGACAGATATGCTTAGGATGTATTTCTGCCACCCCATTTCTCACAACTAAGTTCACAGCTGCTCTGAAGCTCAGAGAATTTCATGGACACCCCTTGGAACTCCTCTCCAGTTTTATTCCAGCCCACACAATGCTGAACTGAGACCCAGGGATAAAGATCCAGGAAATGTCTGTAGCTGTAGGGGCACTCACTATTGTACTAAGTGGCTTGCCCACCAGGGACAGGCTGAGAACACAGGCTTGTCTGACAGACTGGCGTTGGTGGAAGGACTGCTTCTGTGACGGCCCCGTTCCTCACATCCCCATTGTGTCTCCCACAGAACTTCCTGGGGGAATCTGGTATTGTGGTCTGTGGTCTCGGTGCTCCAGGTGGTGCAGTGGAAGTCTCTGGAGAGGGGTGCCTCTGAGTCGAGCTCTGAGGCAGATGCTTTTGTTGGGTCCTGCAGGTCCCATTTCTGAAGAGCAACCAGAGTGCTTTCTGCAGCCAAAGACTCCTTGTCCACGTGTGTGTAATCCTTTTACCCCATACTGGGAGCCTCACTTTTTCCCTCCAAGAGGGACACATGATAGCTACCCCCATTTACCCTTTCCTGTTGCTGTTTCTGTACCAAAATGTATTACTTTCTTCATCTTGGTATTGAGTTCTTGATATTAAAGCAGATAGAAATACTGAGGGCTCAACAGGCATGGACCAGGCTGCTGCCCTTTGACTTTTATTTGCCATTAAGCACTGGACCACCTTTTGTGACCCTGGTTGTCACTCCATCCTTACAGTTCTCATCTACCTCTGGGAGGTGTGAATGACCTTTCTTCACAAGCTTCGGTAGGCACCTACGGTGCTGTCAAAGAGCTGAGCATTGGGGAAGTGTCCAGCTTTGTCTAAGAGGAAGTAGAACCGCCGGCCTTTGACTTTCAGAGGCAGCATGGCAGGGACTTCCCCTCGGTGGGCCATGCAGGACACCTGGTTCAAGGGAACAGTAAAACAAGCCCCCAAGCCAAAGGGGGCGTGAGTGGTGAGGGTCACCTGCTGCCCTCCAGCTCGAAGCATCACCGAACGCACAGATCGGAGAGAGAAGATCAGACCAGCACCAAGTACCAGGGTTCCTACAAGGTAAGCAAAGAGTGAGGCACTGGAGGGCTAAGCATCAACCTTTCCAGTGCCCTCCACTAAAAAATTCTTGTCACAGTATTTTTGAGCACTTTCTAAAATACAATCTTGTGTTAATCCACCCACATTTTTTTCAACCACTGAATTACATCCCAATGTCTGAATTTTTTGGAGACAGGGACAGGGTCTCAGCTGCCCAAGTGGGACTTAAACTTGAGATCCTCCTGCCTCAGCCTGAGTGCGGGCACTGTAGGCATGCGCCCCCGCGCCTGGCTCGCAATCACCTCTTAGTGGTCGTCCATCGCTCTGCAAAGGGGCGAGGACTTAAGGCACCTGCTCGGGGCCACAGGGCGCGGACAGCCCTGGTCTCACACGGGGCCCATCTTACCCACTGCGCTGCAACCTGCGGCCAGCCCATAGCGCCACAAGGCCGAGCGCAGGTCCACCCAGCCGCGGTCCGAGGCCTTGGTGTCCCTAGCCCGCCCTGGGGCCGGGGGTGGAGACAGAGCCGCTAGGGCCAGCGAGGCCCAGAAGATGCTCTGGGCGGCGCAAAACACCCCGAGGATGGCGAAGAAGCGGCTCCGCTCGTGTTCGAAGAGCAGCACATCCCGCGGCGGGGTCCCGGCGTGCAGGGGCCGCAACAAGAGCCCAAGGGCCCCGGAGCAGCGCCGCCACAGTGCCATGAACGCACAGGCCGCTTCCGTTCCCGAGCTCTCAGGGCCGCTGAACCTCACTTCCGGGGCGGGCCTCCTGCCAGGCCGCCCACTTCCGCCTCTCCGCTCACCACCCACCCCGCCTGCCCTGGGGAAAGTCAAGACGCCTTAAAACACAACATCAAGCTTTATCTTAAAAAGTAGGGGGTCCTGGGGTTAGGTACACAAAGCACCGACGTCCTTCGGGTAGTTTAGTGTCAGTCTACAGAGTAGCTTTGGCTGCCGCACCGCGGCTCAGCCTCCGGGTCTCCCCCGGCTCCCTGGAAGGGCTCCAGGACGCAGCGAGGGGCACTGTCCTTTCCCATCAGCTGTGGGGCGGCCGCGGGGACAGGGGACAAAGATGACGATGACGATGACGACGACGGACGATGACGACGGTGCGTGAGGGCCGACAGTATCCGAGGGCTATGTACAGGGCCACGCGAGGCAGTCACTTCATGAACGCCACTTCTGGGATCTCGCCCTTGGCCTGGAAGAGCCCATGGTCAGTGCGCGGGACACACCACCCGGCAGAGGCAGGACCCGGCGCCCTCTCCCGGAGCTGAGCTGCATCCCCAGCCCGTCTTAGTTGGAGTTTCCAGGACTGGCCTCCAACTTGTGTTTTGGTTTTTTTGGAACTGGGGATCGAACTCAGGTCCCTGGGCTTGTGAGGCAGGCGGCGGATCCACTGAGCTAAACCCCCGGCCCTGGCACCAGGGGATTTAACCCTCCAGGAGGCCCGCCCCATAGGCACGTGTCACCACGTCCCGAATCTTACCTTGAGATGAGTGAAGGCCTGGGCAGACCTGGTGTAGTCCCAGTTGTTGTCCTGGAGGCACCTGGTGTGGGAAGCCGAGATGGCACACTGAGAACCAGAGCACAGCCACCCTGACCACTACCAGACGACTGTAGAGCTCTAGACACCGCCCAGGTTTCCCGACAGCTGTGCACTGCTGCACTGAATGTTCCCTCTTTTACATTTTTGGCATTCCTTACTGCCAGCCCTTCCTCAATTTGCCCATGATCCTACACGTGCCCCACACGCACTTCTGGGACCACTCAAGGTTCATGCCAGACTGAGTGGAGAACGTTTGCAACATTTCCTGCTGTTCTGGAGAGAGGGTGGGCACCGGGCTGGAGGACGGCGTGGGTGCAGGCATGGCAAAGGCTCTTTGGATTTCCTCAGGGCTGGCATTCCGCACAAACAGCTCATCATTTACAATACACAGCCTTGGAGAAAAAAAAGAAAAGGAGGAAAAGAAAAAACAGAACAAAACCTTCAATGGCGGGATGGGAATGATCCAGCCCATTTCCAACATTATTCGTCTCCAACACATGACACACAGTCTTTCAATACCTCAGTGTCCCCTCCCACTCTTAGCTATGACCCTTTACCATTTATCTCTTCCCAAGGAGTCCACATTGGAAGGGTCATGGCCCCCGCAGATTACAGATTACACATCACCACACCCCATGGGCAGCTGTTACTAGTCTTTTTTTTGGTACCGGGGATTGAACTCAGGACTTTGTGCTTTCAAGGCAGGCGCCGGAACCACTGAGCTAAATCCCTGGCCCACTAGTCTGTCTTTTATTATCTTCCCAGCAAGAGTTAGGAAGTGAATGCTGTTACACAAACATTCAGAGGAGACTTGCCTGTAGCCTGGAGTGGTAGGGCCAGGATGAAAACCTAGACAGTCAGGACCAGGGCCCCAAGGTCTGACTTACTTTTTTTCCCTAAGATTTTTTTTTTTCTTTTTGGTGCCGGAGATCAAACTCGAGACTTTGCACTTGTGAGGCAGACGCCGGAACCACTGAGCTAAATCCCCGGCCCTGACTTTTTTTTGGGTTACTGGGGATCGAACTCAGGAGCTTGTGCTTGAGAGCCAGGCATGGTGGCACTGAGCTAAATCTCTGGCCCTACCACTGACTTTCCCTTCCAGTTAGCACACTGCTGGCCTTGGACTGGACTGGAACCCAGTGTGGTACAAGACTCACCCTGAATTGCTGGCAGGAACAGCGATGAATGTCCTAGTGAAGGCTCGCAAAGAATCTCGAGACTTTCCATCCACTGGAATGAGAACAGCAAGGACCCTTAGAGCTGGTTACACATAGGTTCTCAAATCATGGCCACTGATACAAAGAACTCTAAGTGGGCCAGACAGGAATGATTCTACATATAAAGGGGTAGAGCATACTGGAGGGTCAGAGGTCAGGGACAGCAGCAATAATAACAGCTACTACCCTAAGCTAGAGCACGTGTGTGCCAGGCCCCAGGTAAAGCCCTTTCTAAGCCTCCTCACTTTCTTTCCACTGTGGCACTCCAAGAGGAACCCCACCTCACAAGTAAGGGATGAATCTAAGGCTCAGGGGTACTGGAACTTGCCCACAGACCCACAGAACAAAGATCAGGATGGGAGGAAGTCAGGGAATAAAAAGATGAGAAGGCAGCTGGGAAGCTAGAGTGCCAAGAAAGATCTCACTAGGGGAAGGATCATGTCATCAAGTTGGGGATCAAAAGTTCTTACCTTCTTTGAAGACTCCATTGACAGAAAAACACAGCAGTGTGCTCTGAAAGAGGGAAAAGCAGCATGCGGTGCAATGTAAGCTTCCTAGCCAGAGCCTGCATCCCCCACCTCCCAACTTCAATTCTAGGCTTCTGCCAAGCCAGACACACTGCTTACTGTCTGGGCACTTATGTCTACCACGAAGGAATTGATGTCATGCTGAGTTTTGGGCAACTCATTGAGAAAGGCAACAACATTGAGCCGTGTGTGCTTCAGTAGCCGGAACCGCAAGGCTGTAGATGAGGGAGAACAAGGCAAGGTTAGGGTGGCCATGCACTCCCGAGCTCTGTAATTCTTTCTCTCCATTCTCTTCTCCCACCCTGTTTTGCTTGTGTCACACACTTACTAGGATCTTTAAGCTTCTTTACATTTCTGCTGTCCTTGAAATACTCAGCCAAGTTGCTCCTGGGGAGTGGGGGGATTGGGTTAGAGCAGGGTGAGTCAGCAGCGCACCCTGTACCTTTGGGAGGAGCCCTGTGGCACTCACCGGGCAGGGTTCTGAGGGATGAAAGGAATGCTCAGCGAACAGCAGGCCCCGTCGTGGTAGGCGTCCAGGAGCCCTTGCCGGTCCCCAGAGTCATAAATTGCATAGTACCTGTGAGAACACAGAAAGAAATGCTGGCCCACTGTAGTGTGCAGTCACAGACAAACTTTGTGGCCACCCAGCCTCAGGGCCCTGGATTACTCACTGCTGTAGGAAGTGCAGGACCAGACTCTTCAGGTTCTCTGTTCCAAAATAGCTGCCCTGAAATCAAGCAGACATTAGCGCACAGAGGCAGCACTCCGCCCACATGCACTCTCACGTCCAGTCATCTTCCTCACCTTGCATGGCGGCAACACTGTGGGAGCTTCCACGTCAAAGGCAATCGGCGGGGGTAACTCGTGGCCATCCTGTGGAAAGATGACAGCTGTGTATAAATCGGAGGGAGGAAAAAGGCTGGGTGTGAAGCAGAGAGCAGAGTTAATCATGACAGGTTAAAGCTAGGTGTAAGGTGTGAAGCCAGGTTTGGCGGCCCATGCCTGCAATCCCGGAATGTAAGAGGCTGAGGCAGAAGGAGCCACAGGGCCAAGGCCAGCCTGGGTTACATAGCGAGTTCAATGCCATCCTGCACTACATAGTGAGACTGAGAAGAAACATAGTGTTCAAGAACCCTGATATATGCAGCTTTTGCCACAGATGTTTTTCTGCGAAGGATTATCATGTTTATCAGCTTCTCAAAGGGATCCAGGTCTTTAATGGCCACATAAAAACAGGCTCAGGCCAGGGATTTAGCTCAGTGGTGCCGCCAGCCTTGCAAGCACAAGGTCCCAAGTTCAATCCCCGGTACCAAAAAAATAGCGCCGGGGATTTAGCTCAGTGGCTTTGCCGCCTGCCTTGCAAGCACAGGGACCTGAGTTCAATCCCTGGTACCAAAAAAAAAATTAAACAAATAAATAAAATAAAATAAAATAAAATAAAAACAGGCTCAGTGGGAGACACTTTGCTTGTTAGGAGAACAAGAAATATCTGGGACTTACCAGGCGTAGTAACTTGGGAAACCGTTCACGAATAGCGCTGTCAAGGATGGGACAGGAGTGAGTGACACCTCGAGCCTAGGGAGCAACCACAGCCACACCCAGGGACAGGCCCTCCCATCCTGCTCGTCACCCAGCCCAGGCTGCATTCAGGGAGAGGTGATCCCTACTTGCTTGGGCACCCAGACCACCAGGCGGCCCTGAAGGCCACCCCTTCCTCTGCCTGCCCAACCCGAGGGTGGCAGGCAGCAGCAAACGGCCTGGGCCTTAAGTCCAGGCCCTCCTTTCCCACCTGGCCCCCCTTACCTTCCACCTACTCACCTGTGCAGCCCCAGGGGGAGGGAGTGGGGTGGGAGCCCAGGGGCTCCGCTGCCTCACCAGGTGTCCATCCGTCCTGCCAGGTCTGGCCTGGGCCAAGACCAGAACACACCACAGGGATGGCACAGTATGTGGGGGCAGGGAATGGGCAAGGCGGGCTCCGGAGAGGTGGTGGCAGAGAAGGAGAGGAAGGAAAAGAGAAGAGAAAAAAGCAGGCGGGGGCAGGGGACGGGTGCAAGGAGGGAAACAGAGGGAAGCAGGAGAAGAAAAAGAGAAAGTAGATACAGGCCAAGAAGCATTCAGAAGAGAAACACCCTGATGCAGCCCTTTCCTTCAGCTGTCCCAGCCCTATGGTCCAAGGGAGAAAAGAGGCAAATCCTGCTGCAGGGCAGTGGGCAGGAGGGTGGGCAGTGGCCACTGACCAGATCTGTCTGCTACCTGGGTCCTGATCTGAGCCAGGCATGGGAAGTCAAACAGCCATGGGGGCCGGAGGCCTCCCTCCGAGGGTGAAGGTTCAGGCGCCTGCAGAGCTGGGGGGGTGAGGGTCTGTGCCCCACCTCTGTTGGCCCCCAAGGTCTCTCCTGATGGCCCCTCTGCGACTGTGCCTGTCTTAGGTTGTTCCTTGCCTGAGGAATCTTACCCGTCTCTGGC